TTTTCGCGGCTCAAATCGATTTATTATTATTGATTCGACGATCCTAATTAATCTATATTTCAACAGGAGTCTACTAAATTCCTTTTATCTAATCATAACAAAATATAACAAATATCTATTAAAACTCTAATAACAAGGATTATCTCTAATAAAATATAGATTCATTAATCGTCCAATATATCTATACCGATATCCATATCTATGTATATAATCCAATCTATTTAATAAACAGTTCAAACCCATAGTTTAAAATTAACAAAATAATAATACAATAACAAGGATTATCGTTAACAAAATATAGGTTTATTAATATATGTTGTCTTATATATCTATACTACTAATAAAAGTACCTTAAGTGAAAAATTTTTGATTCTCTATTTTATCCTTATAAAGAATTTTAATTACCACATTATCTTTCTATAGTTAAATATCTAAATTACAATCACGTCCTTATGTATTTAAATTTTTAATTTACCCTCTAAGATTTCTTGAATTCTCTATTATCTTTGTATAAATATCAATATCTATAAAAAAAATTACTCTTAAAAAAATATATGCATCATTATAGTTTTTAATAAAGTGTTCAAAAACTTCATCAATAAATCATACTTTTTTCAAATATATAGATAACATTATGACTATATATATGTATTCTTTTCCATCTATACTACTAATAAAGAATAAAACTTTTATCTTAGCATGAAAATTTTTTGATTCATTATTTTATTCATATAAAAAATTTTAAATACCACGCTATCCTTCAATATTTGAATATCTAAATTGCCATCATATATTTATATGTTTAAATTTTCTTTTAATTATTTATTTACTATGTATAAATATCAGTATCTATGAAACTTTTTAATTGACTACATTACCTTTAAAACATATATGCATCACTATAATTTTTAATAAAATGTTCAATTTTTTTTAAAAAAACTTTATCAATTTAATATTACTCATTTTAAATATAAAAATAACATTATCCTTACATATGTATATTTCTTTCATCCAAAATTTCAACCATTTAATTTTTAAGATAAAAAATAATCTTTTAAGCATTTTTTTTAAAATAATTTATATTAAATCAACATAATTCTTCAATCATAGTAAACTTTTCATGTTTTATTAAAAGTTTATATAAAAAAATTATATTGTATTTTTAAGTAAAACTTAAATTTTAGAATTTTAATATTTTTTAAAAATATATATTATAGAGTAGTATATTATATTTTAAAGTGAATAACACTTTTAGTCCCTAAAATATGCAGATTTTGTCAGTTTGGTTTTTATTATATCAATTTTGTCAATTTAGTCCTTAAAATGTTTAGTTAATGTTTAAATTAGCTATATATAGACAATTTATTAAGTTTTTTTTATAGAAGTGATCACATGATACTATTTGATGGAATAACATGTTGTTATTTTCATCAAAAAAACTTAATGGACCATCTGGTTAAGGACCCTTTAAACAAGAATTAAATATTTTAGGGACCAAAATGTATTATCCTATATTTTATCCCTATTAACCTAACTAATTATAGTAAGCATTGATTAGAATATTAAAAATTATTTTTATTTTATTCAATAAATTATAAGTGGAAACATAATCAAATGAATTTCAAATAAATTATTTTTATCTTTTTTTTAATACTTAAAATAATGAATCGTTGTGAACAAAAAATATTTTCAAATTCTATAATATAAGACGAGCAATAAAAATATAATTTTGATAAACTTGAAATTATATTTAATGTAGGTACACATATACCTAATACTTTTTATTAATATTTTATATATAAAAATTATTCACATACAACGCACGTGGTGTATTACTAGTATGTATATATATATATATATATATAAAATCTATAATCTATAATATAAAATAGAGTAGACTTTAATAAACTCATCATGATGGTCTCTAATAGATTCATTCGACAACCATCAATATCCCTCTCAAAATCATTTACAATGAATTCTCTCCCTGCAAATCTCTAACTTTTCATTTACATTGCACCTTACCTTTAGACACAAATTACCCTTATTTATATAATAAATTAGCTTACAATTTAAATTTTAAAAGATAAGCAAAATGACTTTTATTTTTTGCGGTTGAGATTGCTCTAAATTTTACTTTAAAATTAATCTAACGACTAATATTAACACCCTAAATTTAATAAAAAAAATAGGGCCTTAAGGATGTGTCTGAAGTGACTTTTTAAAAGTATTTTTAGAAATTATTTGTCATAAATACTTTAAAAAAAATAGTGTTTGAAACCGTCCCACTATTTCTACCACCACCACCGTCACCACCACCATCACTCCCACCATTGCCGCCACCACTACTGTCGTCGCCGTCGTTACCATCATCATCGTCGCCGTCGTCGTCGTTACCACCATCACAACAATTGTCGCCGCTACCACCATTGTCACTGTCGCGGCCGCCACCCCCACTGTTTAAAGTCTTTTATATTTTTTTCTATGTTTATAATTTAATTTTGAATATAAATATAAATATAAATATATTTCTTATTTACTATTTTTTCAATAACTAGTTATTTTATATAATAACACAAGAGATTGCTTAAAATTTTATCCCTAGTACATTTTTGCACCCAAATCTTGTCACCTATCTCTCACCTATTGTTTCTGTCAGACGCCATACCGCCCCTTCCAACTATTTTTATTTTATTTTCATTTTCCTCCTCCTCTCTCTCTCACACACACACACACACCAGCGCCAGCGACATCGCCAGAGCCACCGCCGCGCCACAGCTTTCATCTTCTCACAGGTATTCCTCTTATATTCTTCTTCTCTCTCACACACAAGCAGATACCAGCCCCTAGCTCTCCCATTCTGCGCAAACCTCAAACCCTTCCTCTTAGAGAGGGGCTCTACTAAACCCACCCCCAGAAAACACACACTCAAAACATAGAACACACACACATAAAACACTCACACCCACACCCACACACTCACGGGTTCTCTCTCTTTTAGCCTACCAGCGCCACCGTCACCAGTAAAGAACCACCGTCACGGCGATATCACCACCATCACTACCACACAGCACCACCGTCAAGATCACACATACATCTCCTAGGTATTTCCCTCTCCTCCTCTCCCCTCTGTGTCTCTCACCGAAATGTTTGCTGAAATGACCAAAACCCAGACGCCAATCATAATGCCCATGAAGTGTTTGTTGAAATGCTTAAGAGACCCGCACACGCAAATCACACCCACACCGCACCCTCACACACCATTCTGCGCTGACACACACTGCTGTCTGCAACCACATCTCTCTCCCACCCTCTGCCTCCCTCCTTCTACTCTTCTCATACATAAACAGCGCAGCCAAAACCCCCAGCCATCGCACACACAGCCCCTCAGCCAACATAGAACACATGCACACAGCACACTCACACGCTCACACGCACGCACGCACACACACACACACACACTCACGCTGTCTGCACACATTCATGCACGCAACCACTCCTCAGTCACACACGCACTGTGAGTTTGGGTGTATTTTTACTACCATTTAAAATTTTTTTTGCAATTTTAAATGCGCTGTGAATTTCATGACTGGGTCAATTTTGAGGTAGTTAATTTATGGATGGTGAGTTTTGTGAGTTGAAGTGTTAGTTGAAATTGGTTTATTAATGCATTGCCATTGTGTATTAGGAATTAATTTACTGGGAGTTGCATTGTTAGTTGAAATTTGGTTATAGTTGTATAATGAGTTGCTCTTGCATTGCCTATTTGATTAATTTTGGTCTACTTGAATAAACTTGAGTGATTGCAATTTGGCTATTAATGTGTTGCCATTGTGTCAATTTAGGAATTAATTTATTGGGAGTTGGAGGCACATCAATTGTTTGATGAAAAGTCTCACAACAATGAATACGTATATGTTTGTGTGTATAATGTTTGCTTTGTGAACAAAGACAGAAGCTTAAAGGGAATTGATGGTCATGGGTTTGAAGCTGGAAATGCAGAACGTAGTGTTGGTGGTGCGGTTATTTATTTAATGGATTGTCATATGACTACAAGTATATTTAATCTAACTCTTAGATTAATTTGGTTGTGTAGATTTTGTATTCGTGTATATTTAAATGTATGTGCACACCCCTTACCTATAATGTTGTCTAAGATTGATTAACGTGACATTCTTAGGTTACTTTTACTACGTAAATTTTCTATTCGTGTGTATACAAATGTATATGAGCTGGACTCCTTTGATATAATCTAAATATCCGTTGATCTACTCTAAATTTTCTATTCCTGTTTTTATTGTGTAAATTTTTTATTGTTTCTTTTATACTCTAATCTGAATTTCATATCAAATGACCTAGCTTTGTCAATTTGGACTCCGTTGATATACTCTAAATATTTTTATTGTTCTTATTATAGTTTTTTTTTTGCGTTTGGGATGGTCTAACAGTTGTTGATCTTGAAATTGGATTGACATGATGACAAAGAAAAGAGTGAGGCGCCAAAAAACAGTCTCCAGTCTTCACAGTGGTGTGATGCAATAGCTGGATACGTTCAACGAGAGTAATTGGACTGCTCGTGCCAATCATTCTCACAAATCTCAACCATTTTTTGTGTTTAGAGGTATCGAAGTATGGATCTTTATACATATTTTCTATTTTGGTAAAAAGGTGGAGCTCTTGAGAATACTTTCCTGCATGTCCATATGGATTACCTCCAGAATTGTCTGTTTGATGGTTCTATTTCTTTGTTTTCTAATTGTTTCATATCTCATATCTCAAGAACAATGTGATTGTGTTTATTTGATTTTTTTCTTGACAATTTAGTGCCCTTTTTGATATTACTTCAATGATATGTCTTGGGTAAGTCCACATTGTTCAGTCATGTCCATATGCATACCAATTAGAGTGTTGTCTATTTATTGTTCTTTTTTTTATAACAGATTTTTCAAAATTTGGTTTCTTCTCATGAGAAAGTGGATATGCAGATGCAGTTTATTTAGATGCCGGACAATGGTGATGGTTTACGTCATTTGGTCAAGTCTACTCTAAGAGGTTGCTCCTTTTTGATTGGACTGGTTAGTGAGGTTTTGAGACATTGCAATTTGCCGGTGAGTGGAGCTATTTTGTTCCAGATGTATCTGGTATTATTTTGCTACTTAATTTTTTTGGATAAGAAACCAAATGCTTTATTAATGATTAAGAAATAAAAGTTGCATAAAAAAGGTTGGATAAGAAATCCAACCAATAAGAAAAAAAAACAACGAGAGAAATAAAGTTGCATGACAACCTTATACGTCGTAAATTTCTCTCCATCTTGCTAAGATTACAAAGATTGGGATTCTGGTAATATCCTTAGAAACTGAAGCCCAAAATGAGACTAAGAAATGAATACGTTCCTAGAAACCATCCAAATATTTGTACCGATATTAAAAGATTCTTGCATTTCTTTCTTTCCAAATAACCCAAATAGTAACAATAACAACACAATTCCAAAGAGTCGCACCTTTATCGAACCTTCCAAAGCTTTTCATATCTTCAATAAAGAAAGATATAGATGATAAAGGAAGCACTCAACTCAAATTTGCCATTCAAAACAATTTATACCACATAGCCAACGCAATAGGGCAATGCAAAAATAAGTGATCTACTTTCACAATTACCTTACACATCACACACCACACACCACTTAGGCAAAAAATGACTATGATGCCTTCTTTTCTGAAGCACATCATAAGTATTAAGCTTTCCATGTGCAACAGTTCATGAAAAAACTTGTACTTTAGCCTTCTATACCATCAAAGCTAGGGCAAAAATAGGACAATAATATTGATTCAACAAAGAATCAAAGAAGGGTTTACAAGAAAATACACGAGACGATTCAAGCACCCACCCTCCTTTATCACGTGACTCGAGATTCAACAAACAACTATTTAAGATATCAAGAAATGAAGTGAGATCCCAAATGTCTCTATCTCCTATATTCCTATGGAATCATAAATCCAAAGAGTGTGTATGGTTAGAAGACCATAACACACTGAAGCAATAGAAACACCCAGAGAATAAACTAGTTGATAGAGACGTAGATACATAAATGAAAAAGATACCTCGCCCACCCAAGCATCCTCCTAAAAACGGATTCTCTCTCCATTACTCACCTCAAATCTCAACTCTTCGAAAAATCTCGTCAAACCCTGAGATATAAATCTTCATGGATAGTGAAAACTTGCCCTCTCAACCCTATTATTGTCCCATCTACTGGCATGCAAGTCATATTTGCTCCTGATAACTAAATGCCACAAAGAATTTGGTTCCAATGGACATCTCCGCAATTGCTTACTCACTAATGCTATGTTTCTTACCTTCAAATTACCAATAGAAAGGCCTAGAATGTCGTTGTCTTCCCTCAGATTTGCACCAATAGATTGAGTCTCATTCTTCTTAGTCAAGTTAAAAGAATTTGGGTCGTGAGCTCAATCCACATATGAAATGAATTTCTTCTGAATGTTCTGAAAAATACCTCAGAATCCTTCCAATCACATGCATAATCAATCACCCTAAATAACCAGGAAACACCCCCAATACCCATAGATATTTCAAAAGTATAAAATCTAGTTCTCTCCATAATCTTCACAATATCCCCATATGACGCTTCTGGGATCTCAACAAGGAAAATGCTGCTACTAAATTAAATGTTGAGATCATGATGTGGAATTGCAGGTTGGTTTACAATTTGGTAGTTCTTCAAAGTTGGCCTCTGAAAGGGAAAATCAGCATTCATCTGTTATGGCTGCAATGAATCCTATAGATATTAGTTCGTCTGATAGTGATCTCACCTGGGATCTAGATGATTATAGAGAATCAGATAAATCACCTCCAAACGAATATGCTGTTTCTGCCAATCCTAGGATTCTTCCATCATGGGCATCTTCGCTTTCCACTGATGCAATGGGTACAGACTGGTATTTTCTGGAGTAAAAATGTTAAGATTCGAACAGGTCTTTTTATTATAAATATAAAGTTCTTTATCCAATTTGCAGATTATGGTGGATTGTCCCAAACTGTTCCTTCTCCTCAAAGATCTCAAGCGCCTAATGGAAGCTCATCAAATTTTAAGCACCATGGACAGGCTAAAGTCCAGATGCATCCGAGTTTTAGTGATAGTGTGAGAGCCTCAAATTTACAAATGCCCCAGGCTTACAATTCTAAGTTTTCTTCAGGGAATGGTAATGTGGGTCCCCCAGCAAAAATTATGTGCATTGAAAGTTTTCACCAGACTATTGACTGCACAATTGCTGGTTGTTTGGTGCAGATTATCAAAAACATTCATCTCAACAAGCATTGAAGAGGGCACTTCCAGCATCCCTTCAGTCATCTGGGTCCAATGCCAGATCAAGCAAGTTAGTAGAGGATGTGGAAAGCAGTCAGTTTCGTGAAACTCGTAAAAAATCTACACATTTCCTGTGGCCGAATGTAATCAATTGCAAGGACTACATGAAAGACAATTTCAGCAGGGGCAGTGATGCTGATGTCGTTATGTATGAAAACAGTGGAAGTAGGGTGCTACCTCCATCTCTGATGCAAGGGAGATCTGTACCAACTACTCCTTATGCCAGTTTGGGTGATCCATTATACCGTCTTGGGGTAGGGGAAGAACGGGCTGCTGGAACTGATGAGAGGCTAATTTATCAAGCAGCTTTACAGGTATTTCTTACTGCTCAATGTTAACAAAACATTTCAATATTCTTTTTAGATGTGAGAATTGAACCCATTAGTCGCTGCACTCATAGTTTTTAATGTCTTACGATACGCTATACATATCTTATGATATATCTCGATATAGTATCCCAATGATATGTATCTACAAGTCGTACTGTTTTTTACCAAAATATGATACGCGATACGTGTAAGACGATAGATTTTGATACAATAGAAAAACGATACTCACAAGACCATAATTTTATAAGTTTTCACTCTACACATTGAAACGACGTTTCACAAGACTTTATTTCACCCTAAACAATATGCTTTCCGATAAACGTTTTGACAACCTTTGCCCCAATGATGGGATTTTAACCTTGGCACCCGTAATTTAAGTCATTTCTTATTATGCTGTGGGGAAGTGTATAAGATCTTAATTCTTTCTGTCTGGGCACCTATGAACCTAAGTTGAATTGGCTGCCTTTTGATATGCTGTTCTGCTCTTTGGTGCTTTCTAATTTCCTTTTTATGTAAGTTGTGGCAATCTCCAAGGATTTGTACAGTTTGTTACGCTGTTCTGTACAATTTAGTAGTTGGTGCACAAGATCGTTGTTCGTGTCCCATTTTGAGTAAAAAATATTGTATATGCAAACCCCATACGAAAACCCACCCAAAAATATTGACCAAAGCAATTCAATAGATTTTGGAGACCAGATTAAAACACACTAAACTTGTTTGAGTCACCGTTGGCAGTAATAGGTGGTAAAAAGGGTATTATTTAATCTTGCTAATGACCATAAGCAAATTTGTCAAATCGTGTATCGGAAGGTGTATCGTAAGATACGAGTNAAATTTTTTTTTTGCTAGATCTAAACAAAGAGATCTCAACAGAGGTCCCAAAAAAAAAATCTGGTATCAGCAATAAAAAAAATCTGCTATAGCTTTGAAAAAAAATATGCTACAAAAAAAAAAAACTACTATAGATCTAAACTGAGAGATCTCAACAGAGTTAAAAAAAAAAATTCTGCTATCAATAAAAAAAAAATCTATTATAGATATAAAAAAAATCTGTTATAGATCTTTAAAAAAAAATTCTACTATAAATCTAAACTAAGGGATCTCAAGATTCTCAACATAGGTCAAAAAAAAAAATAATTTCTGCTATCACAAATAAAAAAAATCTGTTATAGATCTAAAAAAAAATTCTACTATAGATAAAAAAAAAATTCTGNAAAGACCTCTAATTCAAACTTCTAATATCAACTGCTTAAATAACTATAATATTAATCAGAAATTTTGAATTCAATTGAACAACATTAAAAACTGACTTTATTTAATTTTTTTAAACTATAACCACTGAAACGACGTTGTTTCACTAAATAGTGATTTAAAAATAAGTCATAGGGTAAAACGATGTCATTTCAACCCCAAAAAATAAAAAAAAAATAAAAAAACAGAATCGTCGGGTATTGTACGTATCGGGCGTATCATATCGTATCGTGTATCGTACAATACAGAGATACAATACATATCGTTTTTCAGGTTTATCGTGACGTATCACATATCGTATGATACTAATAACTATGACCATGAGCAGAGTTGGTATGACAATGTACACAAGCTGAATGGAAACCAACGTGTAAGCAAAGTTTGCCTTTGTTTATCATTGTAAGCTGGACATTGCCAACCCTTGACTGGTGGGCAAGAGCCATTATCCTCTATCATCATATAGATTGAGAAGCATCAATTATAGCAGCTACTTTTTTAAAACAGATTTAAAGAACCATAGAAACACCACCAGGTTGTTTGCTTATTTACTTTGTCATGGTATTAGTAGCCTAATTATATGTTTTCAATAGTGTAACTATGGAAAATTTCACGTCTTNAATTTCTGCTATCACAAATAAAAAAAATCTGTTATAGATCTAAAAAAAAATTCTACTATAGATAAAAAAAAAATTCTGCTATAGATTTAAACTAAGAGATCTCAAGATTCTCAACACAGGTAAAAAAAAAAAATTTCTGCTGTCACAAATAAAAAAATCTATTATAGATCTAAAAAAAAAATTCTGCTATAGATCCAAAAAAAAAAAAATTCTGTTGTAGATCTAAATTGAGATCTCAATAGAGTTAAAAAAAAAAATCTGCTACAAAAACAGTTCTGCTATAGATCTCAACATGAGTTCAAAAAAAGAAAATTTTTTTCCACAGATCTAAATTGAGATGAAAGGCGAGAAATGAATTGATTATAACATACCTTCTATAGATGACCATCTTCAATGGGTAGACTTATGACTGAGAAAAAGAAGGGAAGCAAAGAGAGAAGGTGGCCTCTTCTTGGTCTACTGGGTGGCTGAGGAAAGTCTGAGGGTGAACTTGCTGCNTATCGTGACGTATCACATATCGTATGATACTAATAACTATGACCATGAGCAGAGTTGGTATGACAATGTACACAAGCTGAATGGAAACCAACGTGTAAGCAAAGTTTGCCTTTGTTTATCATTGTAAGCTGGACATTGCCAACCCTTGACTGGTGGGCAAGAGCCATTATCCTCTATCATCATATAGATTGAGAAGCATCAATTATANGGGTTAGGTTGATGATTTTTATATTATTTTTAATTTTTTATATGCTCAGACTGTTTACTATTTTTTAGGCTTTCAGATTTTTCTTNCCAATCTTTATTAATAAAATGGGTTGTGAGGCTCAAATAACCATCAGTAGCAATAGATGTCCATAAATCAGAAGTTAAACAAATCCTACCAGGCAACTCACGTAGCATTACAATGACCTTATTCATCTCTCTTGCATGCAACTTAAGGATATCTCCCATGGTAGTATTCCTTGAAATGCATTTGACTTCAGAACACAAGTATGTGAAAATATTTCCNTATTAATAAAATGGGTTGTGAGGCTCAAATAACCATCAGTAGCAATAGATGTCCATAAATCAGAAGTTAAACGAATCCTACTAGGCAACTCACGTAGCATTACAATGACCTTATTCATCTCTCTTGCATGCAACTTAAGGATATCTCCCTTGGCAGTATTCCTTGAAATGCATTTGACTTCAGAACACAAGTATGTGAAAATATTTCTAACAGCCTCATACNGATCCAAAAAAAAAAAAATTCTGTTGTAGATCTAAATTGAGATCTCAATAGAGTTAAAAAAAAAAATCTGCTACAAAAACAGTTCTGCTATAGATCTCAACATGAGTTCAAAAAAAGAAATTTTTTTTCCACAGATCTAAATTGAGATGAAAGGCGATAAATGAATTGATTATAACATACCTTCTATAGATGACCATCTTCAATGGGTAGACTTATGACTGAGAAAAAGACGGGAAGCAAAGAGAGAAGGTGGCCTCTTCTTGGCCTACTGGGTGGCTGAGGAAAGTCTGAGGGTGAACTTGCTGCAGTCGACTGTGAAGTGAAATGGCTTTATTGACCAAAAAAAGAAGTGAGGAGGCTTTTAGTTTTAGGGTTAGGTTGATGATTTTTATATTATTTTTAATTTTTTATATGCTCAGACTGTTTACTATTTTTTAGGCTTTCAGATTTTTCTTTTTCTTTTTATTTTATTTTTTATATTTTTTGTTTTAGCCTTTAGGGTTAGTATGAGTTGTCAGACTGAGGCTTTTCTTTTTCTTTTAAACGGATTGAACAGGGTAAACGGGTCATTTTCATTTAAATTATCGTGTCATGTTTGTGTAATTATCGGGTAATTTTCGGGTTAGGGTCAACACAAGTATATAATCGGGTTAATCGTGTCAAATTCGGGTTAGGATGGTTAAACCCGAACACGACCCGTTTTTCATTTGTGTTCACGTGTCGGGTCATTTTCGGTTTCGTGTCAGGTTGTAATTGAGTTCGAGTCGAAAAATTCGTGTCGAGTTCGAATCGTGTTGTTGTGTTCAATCGAAAATTGTCACCCCTATACCTGATATGTGATGTATAAGGTTTGGTAAATTATCTTCTTCCTATTGTGATCTTTAACTTTACAATATTTTCTCTAATAGCTCTATTTCTTCGCAATAAGATGATACAATGCTTATAATTAGANGAAAATTGTCACCCCTATACCTGATATGTGATGTATAAGGTTTGGTAAATTATCTTTTTCCTATTGTGATCTTTAACTTTACAATATTTTCTCTAATAGCTCTATTTCTTCGCAATAAGATGATACAATGCTTATAATTAGAAACCCAATATACATATATACCTATATGTAAATTCGACAAAGCTGCTGAAGAAGAGAGAAAATGAACTTGCAGTTAAAAGAATTTAGTTTAGATTCGTAGGTCTTCTTAAACCATTCCTATTTTGTAATAAACTCAACTCAGCAAAACTATAATTCCAATTATTTGGGATCGGCTACATGATATTTTCCATTAGACCATAAGCTATCATATCATTTTTTTTACTATTTCGTTCACAGTTATTTTAGGTCTATCTTTACCTCTCGCATTACTATTAATATGTATCAAATCACTCTTCCTTATTGGTGCATTATTAGTCTTCTAGGCGTGTCAAAACCACCTAAGTCGATTTTCTCTTAGTCTATCTCTTATTGGTGCTACCTTTGCGATTTTACAAATACATTAATTTCTAATTCTATCGTTTCTCGTTTTACCATACATCTATCTTAACATTTTCATTTCTGCAACACTTATGATNAATTTAGTTTAGATTCGTAGGTCTTCTTAAACCATTCCTATTTTGTAATAAACTCAACTCAGCAAAACTATAATTCCAATTATTTGGGGTCGGCTACATGATATTTTCCATTAGACCATAAGCTATCATATCATTTTTTTTACTATTTCGTTCACAGTTATTTTAGGTCTATCTTTACCTCTCGCATTACTATTAATATGTATCAAATCACTCTTCCTTATTGGTGCATTATTAGTCTTCTAGGCGTGTCAAAACCACCTAAGTCGATTTTCTCTTAGTCTATCTCTTATTGGTGCTACCTCTGCGATTTTACAAATACTTTAATTTCTAATTCTATCGTTTCTCGTTTTACCATACATCTATCTTAACATTTTCATTTCTGCAACACTTATGCTTCATTTGGGAAGATGGAATGAAAAGTTGGAAAGATAGATAAATATCATGTTTGATAAAGAAGGAAAATAGAAATGATGAAAAAGTGGATGAATGAGTTTTTCTTCCACCTAGCAAAATCAATCCCTCCAAACTTTTGGGAGGAAAAGTGGATGAAAAATTAATTATGTGTATTAAAATATGTTATTTATGATNAATAGAAATGATGAAAAAGTGGATGAATGAGTTTTTCTTCCACCTAGCAAAATCAATCCCTCCAAAATTTTGGGAGGAAAAATGGATGAAAAATTAATTATGTGTATTAAAATATGTTATTTATGATATATCTTTTAATATATACATATATCATATTTATCAATTATATATTATGTATACATTAATTTTATATATTGGTATAATGGTAAAATATGTATTTATACTTTTTCCCAGAAAAAAATAAAAAAAATTACTTTTTTCATCTTATCAAATACAAAAAAATCAATATTTCCTACTTTCTATCCCTCTTACCAAACATAAAAGAGGGAGTAAATGATGTATCACTTTCACTTTCCATCAGTCCATTTTTCCATCCACTCTACCAAATGGATTATTATTTTTTGAGCGTGTTGTTTCTTAATTACCCAACATTTTGTCCCGCACAACATTGTTGGTCTAATGACTGTGTTATAAAACTTACTTTTCAACCTAAGGGTTATACTTCGATCACATAATACACTAGATGCATTCTTCCATTTAGTCCATGCTTGAATTTTAAGATTACAATCGTCTCCAACCCCTTCCTCTCTATGGATAATTGATGTTCGCTCTTAGCTGTTTCTTGATTTTCTATCTTTACTACCGCCCCATTCGAGTTTCTATAATTTATAAAACTACATTCCATATCTTCGGTTTTACTTCTACTATCCTAAATTATTTTGTTTCTCTTCAATCCATTAATTCCGTGTTCGGTTCATGTCGTGTTAACGTTTCGAGTCGAAAATTGACACCCTTTGATCCTATGTTCCCGATCTTTTAGCCTCCTCCCTTATCCAAGATAGGATCCTGATTTTAAAAACCTTGCTTCAAATACACACTAAATTGATACTATTGAAACGTCTACATGTAATGATTTAATGTTTTCTTGCAGGATCTCAACCAACCTAAAGTTGAAGCTACTCTACCTGATGGTCTTTTGTCAGTCTCTCTTCTAAGACACCAGGTTTTCCTCTATATATGTTAATAAGTCCCTTCATCTCCATGTGGTCTACTTGGTTCCTATTTTAAATTATCTTCTATTGCAGAAAATTGCATTGGCTTGGATGCTTCAGAAGGAAACAAGAAGCTTGCATTGTTTGGGTGGAATTTTGGCTGATGATCAGGTTTTTAACAAGTACTGCAGCTATGACATCATGCATGATTTGCTGCTTGGATCTTTAATTAATTAATGTTCTTAGGATGTATTGTTAGTTCCAGAAAACATATAAATGCATTCGAAGTATTGTGACATTTATGGGGTTTTTTTTGCAAAAATGGCTTAACTAAAGGTTTAGAAAAAATAAGCAATGGGTCAATCCATATGTATCTAAAATATATAAATCTTAGAATTCAGAAATTAAATAGCTCAATTATGCCGTGTTAGCTGTTTTCTGCCATTCCCCTTTCTATGTAGTAGTTTTTTGAGATTTAAAGTTGACTCGTTACCCAATGGGTCCCTCTGTTACTCACACCTATTAACTATTTTGATGACATGGGAGAGAAGGGGGGGGAGTGGGAAGAGAGCATGTTGGTGTTGCCTGTCGTCTTTCACTGAAACAAAAAAGTCAAGAGAAATCAGAAGTTCTATGTAATTCAATTGGATTTAACCTATTAAATCCAATTAAATTTGGTGAAGTTCGTAATTGTAGAAGTATTTCGATCTATAGAGTTGATTGTGATAATTAAATCCAATTAAATTTGGTGAAGTTTGTAATTGTTGAAGTAAGTATTTCGATCTATTGAGTTGATTGTGATAAAGCTCTTGAGTTGTTGAGTTGATTGTGTCCGTTTTCTTAGTCTTACTGTTGGATAAATTTGTCACATTTGCAATTGGTTTTTTGTAAATGTTTTATGTTCTTGAGAATTACTTGGTTGGCCATTCTTCTGTAGATGTGCATGTTGAAATTATAGTTTGTGTGCTCTCCTGCCATAAGTAGAAAATAATTATCATAGAAGCTTTTGTGATTGAAGCAATGCTCAGTTATTTTGCTAATTGTCAAGTTTTTAAGAAACAGATGTTATGACTATGCATCATAAGAATGTATATTGATATAGAATTATTTAATATCATTTATTACCAGTCACTTGACCCAACTGAATATGAATCTTGGCTATGCCACTGCACAGGGCCTTGGTAAGACTGTCTCGATAATTGCCCTTATACAGATGCAGAGGTCCTTACAGTTGAAATCTAAGTCGGAAGACCTGTACAATCACAAAACTGAACCCTTGAATTTGGAGGATGATGAGGATGGAAGCAATGCTTTTCCCGATAAAGCCATGCAGACTGAAGAATCTGATGACTTTAAAATGATTCCAGAAGCAAGTACTTCTATACGTCAGTTCCGTAGGAGGCGGCCTGCAGCAGGTACATTGGTTGTGTCTCCGGCAAGTGTTCTTCGACAGTGGGCTAGGGAGCTTGATGAGAAAGCTACAGATGAAGCTAAACTTTCTGTTTTAGTTTATCATGGATGCAATCGGACTAAGGATCCAATTGAACTTGCAGAGTACGATGTGGTATTAACAACATATGCCATTGTGACAAATGAAGTTCCAAAACAACCTTTGGTTGATGAGGATGATGATGTGCAAAAGGATGGGGATAGGTATGGATTAACTTCTGAATTCTCTAATAACAAGAAACGGAAAAAGGTGCCTGGTGCTAGTAAAAAGGGAAAGAAGAGCAGAAAAGGAATCTATAGTTCTGCTTTTGATGGTGAGTGTGGTACACTTGCAAGAGTGGGTTGGTTTAGAGTGGTTCTAGATGAAGCTCAAACGATAAAAAATCACAGAACACAAGTGGCTAGAGCCTGCTGTGGTCTTAGAGCGAAAAGAAGGTGGTGCTTGTCTGGAACACCAATACAAAATGCAATTGATGAATTGTTTAGTTACTTCAGATTTCTGAGATATGATCCATATGCTTCTTATAAGTCATTTTGCAATACAATAAAAGTCCCAATTTCCAGAAACTCGGTTCATGGTTACAAGAAGCTTCAAGCTGTTCTGCGGGCTATAATGTTGCGTCGAACAAAAGGTGACTCTCTTTCATTTTTGACCTTTTTGATTTGCATCCGATGTTCCCTTTTCTTCTTTCTTCTTCTTCTGGGCTGGGGGAAGTGTGGAAATTTTTTCTGTTCTTTTTTGGGGGAGCTGGGGGAGCGTGATAATTCATTAATTTTGTATTGTTTCAAACTACAATGGTGGACGTCTTCTTGTTGTTCCTCTTGATGCACAATGTACTGATTCAGTTTTACNCCTTTTCTTCTTTCTTCTTCTTCTGGGCTGGGGGAAGTGTGGAAATTTTTTCTGTTTTTTTTTGGGGGAGCTGGGGGAGCGTGATAATTCATTAATTTTGTATTGTTTCAAACTACAATGGTGGACGTATTCTTGTTGTTCCTCTTGATGCACAATGTACTGATTCAGTTTTACACTCGTTACATTTATGGTTTTCTCTCTTGTTTGTTCGTGTGTATGTTAGTCTGTCTAGATTGTCTAGATTTGGAAATACCTAGCCATCATCATATGCTAGTGTTTGTAGGTAGACATTGGAATTGGAGGTTATTCTGTGCTTCTGCTTATGTGGCATCACATCATTATAACATGGGTTAATATGCAGGTTTTTTCATGAAATTTTTGAACGATTGGAAGACGCCTCTCAACTTTTGCTTGCATAGTTTGATGCTTTTTTTTTTGTGTGCGTTTAGGCTCTCCTCACATTTGTCATTTAATTATTATGTGTAAAACCTAGGGCTGCCAAGCATGAAATGTTTATTAAGTTTGAGGGTAGCCATGTGACGCCCCAAAATCTGGGGTCGTTATTATATTATAAATTCAATTCTCTCTCGTTGAACATTATTTATTAACTTACGACCTTGATCCCGGAGGATCAATTCCAACAAATTCTGGTAGAGTCTCTTTTGTACGAGCTCCACCAAAAACATAACTTTTATCAACTGTGTGACAATGACCATACCAGGTCCAATCTAACTATCTAAGCAAAATTCCATGCATTAAACATTAAGTCACAACACTTATGGCCAACATGGAAAGTCTTCAAATCCAAAGATTACATGTCCAAAACAGTACAAGTTTTTACTTGTCAAAATAATAGATACAATTCTCCAAATCATCCAGGCCTTTACAGAAGAAAATACGAGTGTTGTATAAACCAAAATACAAGGCTACCCAATTAAATATAAGTGGGACTTAGAAATATCTAATCCATCAAAATAAGAGCTCCAACTCCTGCTTTATTCTCAAGATGGGCCCAATTGTGGGCCATCCATGGAAGCATTAACTGTACCTGAAATATTTTTCCCATGACGGGGTGAGCTAAACCTCAGTAGGGTATCTGCTATAAGGTTAGTCACCCAACCCAATGATGCATATGATGGGAGATATACATTCATGAACATCAAGTATTCACATATGTAACGTGTAACATAAAATAATTCCACCAACTATGCCATGACATGAGGTGATGTTTCATGCATGCATCACCAACTCCTCGTGCTTATGAACTAGACACTTCGAGTTAACTCAATGATCTTGTCATTTATTATCTTTTTTTTTTCAGGATAGGGTATTTATGAACTTTCACCAACAGTCTATCCAACTTACACAGATTTTAGGACTCACCCCCGGTTCCACGTACACTGACACACTTTTATGGGTTTGCTACACCATCGACTCAGTGTGTGACTATCATAACTAGGCCTTGCACCCGATGGAGAATTTACCTCTTCTTGCTAATACCTTATCATTTTATTATTCTTGTTCTCGTGAGACTTAATCAAACTTTAGTCCAATTTTCAAGCCTCACACGCTTACTTATGTGGTAAGTGACCAACCCATGTATACACAGCACTACCATGCCAATGCATCATGGGTGTGATGTAAAACCTGTACAAATGCCATGTATGCCCAAATGCAATGAAATGGACTTACAAACTCAATTGCCAAAAAAAATGCATATATCTATCATCCTAGCATTTCATCAAAAATGTAATGTGCATAAAATTACACACTTAGTATGCTTTTCATCACCATGACATTTCATCAAATATGTAATGTGCATAAAATTACACTCTTAGCATGCATGCCATCATCAACATAGCAACATGTTCATTAACTCAATGACATAGATATTAACACATCAACATGTTTATTACTTCAATAAACATAAGCACATTTTACTATGTTAGCTCTATGCTAATCACCCATTTAATATACATGTAAATCTATACCCATATCACACACATACACTAGATTAGAATTAGTACCAAATAGATCCATTCTCCTCTAGGTACGATCTTTTTCTTTTCTCTTCTTCTTATCTCTTTCTTCCTTCTTTGCCAGTTGCTGGTGCTGGGTTTTCATAGTCTTCACGCTCTCTCTCTTAGATTTGAGTCTTCAGCGATGTTTGTGATCGACGAGCGTGAGTTTGGACTTTGGTGGGTCTTCAGTAAAAAAAACAAAAAAAACTGCTTGTTTATTTCTCCCCTTTTATTGTGTTTTAATTTTAATTAACATTAATGTCATTCCGTCCCCCTTTTTCCTTTATAATTGTTAATAGCCCCTGCAATTAATAAAAAGGTTATTATTGTTAATTAACTTATCAAAGTAACTACAACTAATTTTATGGTATATTTACTATCTGAAATTAAGTATTTATGTGTGTAAAAATTTTTCATGCAATATTTTTAATATTAATGAAATAATATTACTTATTAATTTGATGATACAATTTAAATTAGAAATCATATTACTTACTCGGGTCATTTTTTTTTTTCAGTCCAACTTGATATTATCTTGTATAAATTGATGTTAGCCTAATAAACGTGCTCAATTAATCAATTATTAAGCTTATTTTTATAAATAAATAGATTGTATTTGTGTTTTCATATTTTTTGATGTGTTTTCATTGTGTTTCCAAAACCNATGAAATAATATTACTTATTAATTTGATGATACAATTTAAATTAGAAATCATATTATTTTTTTCAGTCCAACTTGATATTATCTTGTATAAATTGATGTTAGCCCAATAAACGTGCTCAATTAATCAATTATTAAGCTTATTTTTATAAATAAATAGATTGTATTTGTGTTTTCATATTTTTTTATGTGTTTTCATTGTGTTTCCAAAATCCGACATATCCTTTTTTTAGAGCGTATGAGGGGAAAAAAGCTCTTGCATTGTTAGACGCCTCTCAACATTTTATGCCTTGAGTTGTTGATCATCACCTGACCTAACCTCACACGAGAGGCCTTGTGCCAAGTGATTCTCTCCGGACAAAATCTGCATGTGATGGTTTTATTCTATCAGGTATAGTCAACAAAATGGAGTTCTTGGTCAGTGACTCCAGAACAANTCATCACCTGACCTAACCTCACACGAGAGGCCTTGTGCCAAGTGATTCTCTCCGGAAAAAATCTGCATGTGATGGTTTTATTCTATCAGGTATAGTCAACAAAATGGAGTTCTTGGTCAGTGACTCCAGAACCAATGATTTCTTCCAGGTGTTGGAGTGCCCTTTTGAAATGGGGGCTAGTTGTTCTTTGCTCCCATAAGCTTTGATGAACTTGCAGGAGGCTCCAACTATCCAAAATTTCATTGCATACATATTTCCGAAAACATAAACTTGTGCTTTAGTAAAATATAACCCATTTTGGGGTGCAATCGGGGAACTACTATCAACTTTTTTGGAAAGTTCTTCCATTTAGTAATGGAAGTCATGTTATANATCCAAAATTTCATTGCATACATATTTCCGAAAACATAAACTTGTGCTTTAGTAAAGTATAACCCATTTTGGGGTGCAATCGGGGAACTACTATCAACTATTTTGAAAAGTTCTTCCATTTAGTAATGGAAGTCATGTTACACCATTCGTGTTTGTCGCTACTTATGTGATAAGGAATTTCGCTATCTGAGGACAGTTAGAGTTACTGTCGCCATTTATGGGGGCTTCCATTCAAAAATGTTCTTCTTTTTTGTATTACCACGAGTTGGACTTTGTCTTGTGGTTGTTAATGCGTGGTAAGATAGGTTTTTTTTTTCGAGCAAGATTTGGTATTGGACGTCTCGTCCACCTCTTTCTTGGATAATGTAAGACTTTTATTATTTATTAGTAAAAGTATTTCTCGTATTAAAAAATAAAAAGTTCTTCCTTGAAATGAAATCAACGGCTAGGGAACATGGCATTTACACACCCGCTGTTTTATGAAAGAAATTTGAAGATGTTACCAGTAATGTTTAGTCGTAATAATCCCCCCATTCAGTTGTAGCCTGTTGCTTTGTTTAATTTCACTATCAGTTCACCTCTTAATGGCTATTTTTCTGCATGTTATAATATTTTTTTTAATGAACACAGAAGGGAATACATGTATATTTTAACATCATATCGCGGTCGCAAGAGCCCAAGGAGACCAATAAGCCCAAAGTCTAAGCACCACCTCCAAAAGGGCCTAACCTTTGGAGGAATGGATGGGAAGTGGGAACTTATCAATCAACTCGAACCTCCAAAAAGGCCTACATGCATATAATGTTATTGCTTGTTGATATAATTTTCTAGTTTTGAATGGTGTTGTTAAAATTGTTGTGCTTCATGTGGACGAGCTATATTTTGTATGTTATTTGGGATTCTTCTGTTGTTTGGTGTTGATGATCATCAATACTTGTGGCTTAGGCATGTTGATTGATGGGGAACCTATTATTAGCTTACCCCCGAAAACAATACATTTGATTAAGGTGGATTTCTCTGCTGAGGAGCGCATTTTTTATAACAAACTAGAAGCTGATTCACGCTCAAAATTCAAGGTATTTCCTCTCTCTGCCTGTGATGGTTTTACTTTTTTATCTTTTGTTCTCGAGGAAACTAATTGTTTTGCTAGATTATTAGTCAATACCAAGGTTAACTTGGTTCAATGCATTGTGATCATTACACCCTTATATATTTGTTGTAAGGTCCCAGTTTCATCTGGCCTCCCTTCAGATGAAGTGTGCTTTCCACACTCCCTCACATGCCAAATAACAAAGAGACTAGAGATTGAGAGCTGTCTAATCCTTCGAAACTCCTTTTCGAGTTTCATCGTAATCTTTTACTTAAGGATTATGATCTGTTGATCAAATAGCTGCTGGTATTTGATGGGCTTGCACTACATCAGAATCTGAGTGGTATGGCTATAGTAATCTTTTATACTAGGTCCTATGTGATCCTGCCTCTAGATTCTGTTCTTTCTGAATTTTTTGACTTATCATTAGGTGCCTTCACTTGCCTATAGCCGAAATGCCATTGCTGATGGTTTCACGTGACCTTTTTTGTGCTTTTGGACTACTGGAGATGACTTCCTACTGTTCTAAACGGGGTTATAGTTTCATGTGACCTTTTTGTGCTTTTGGACAAGTGGAGATGACTTCCTACTGTTCTAAATGGGGTTACTCGTGTTGATATACAAGGGTTTTCATAATCTGAATCAATATGTTGTGCTTTATTTATGTTCAATGAAGTCAGTTGATAGACTACCTGCCAAGAGAAGAAATTAGTTGGTAGACTTGCGAAACAGAAAAAAGTCAAAGTAAAATGTATCAGTCCTCTAGCTATGATGAGTCATCACTGATGAAAATGTCACCAGAATTTGGGCTTACCTCCAACACTATAGTGGTATGATTTGATAGATTGGTTCCTCTAGTGCTTTCATCTAATGTTTACGCAGGGCATCATCCCCACCCACCTACCCTCTTTATCAGGTTAATTGTCCTCTAATTCAACAGGACAAGTCCCTTATTTGCTATTCAAGACTGGCAACAAACAAGGCTTTTTGCCTTTTAGTTGTTGGGAAATGAGACCTTGTTAACTATAGTCTTCTAGAAGAAGCACAACCACCTTAGTCTGGAGAAAGCACAACCACCTCGTTAACTACTTAGTTTTCTGGAGAAGGCACAACATCCTTGATCTGCGGCTTTGAACCGATTGGAGGGAGTTCTGACTATCGTAGTGTGAGTCGAGTTGAGAATTTCATGAGACTTTTCAGTTAGTGATGGTGATTCCAAACCTATAACAAGCCAACTTCTTTTGAACTGGCTATCATATTCTTCCTAGGTGAAGGGGTTGTGGAATGAGTGTGACATTGCAAGTTTGTAGGTATTCGTAGAGCACCTATAATATTAAGCCCTAATATACCTAGTGATGTAGATTAGGAAGATGATAAAATAAGATACGAGAAGAGAAGAAGAAAGGGATGAGAAATCTGAAGAAGTGGATGAAAAGAGAAGGGAATTGGGGCAAGAAGAGTAACAACTCTCAATATTCAATAATCCAAGTCTACCAAAAATAATAATATCAGTTCCTTATTATAGGGAACCCAAAACACTAGAATCAAAGATTCTTAATCAAACTCTATACTAAAAGATAAAAAGGGAATAATATCAAAATAAATAAAAATCCCAAAATAAATCTTCAACAGCTATCCTATTCCAGCCAGAACATCATCACGTAGTCAATGCCACATTAATTTTTTCCTTTTTTGACAAGGAATGAAATAAAAATGAGAAGAAGACTTAAAACAATTGTTTCTGAAAATCAATTTGGATTTATGTCTGGTGAGTCAACAATGGAATTATATGGAAATGTATAAATTGAAAAAGAAAAATCTTCATATGATTTCTGTGGACTTAGAGAATGCTCATGATACATTTCCTAGGGACAAAATATGGCAGGTTTATAGAGAGGAGAGAGTTAAACAAATATGCTTACTGATATGATTAAGGTTATATAAGAGGGTGCAGTGATCTTATTGGGAACAACTGGGAAAGTAGTGGATTCCCAAGTACTATAGGTCTACATTAGGGTTTTGCCAAAAGTCTATATTATTTTTCCTTGATTGCGGATGAATTAACTATTTGCTGATGATACAGTGTTTGTTGATGAAACTAAAGTTGAATATATGAAGTNTACTATAGGTCTACATTAGGGTTTTGCCAAAAGTCTATATTATTTTTCCTTGATTGTGGATGAATTAACTATTTGCTGATGATACAGTGTTTGTTGATGAAACTAAAGTTGAATATATGAAGTGCAATTCGAGTTTTATTAGAAATGCAAATAGGAAGATCCTAAAGATCGAAGGTCAAGAGATACTAAAGAGTAAACCCTTTTTGAAACACCCCAACCCGAGTTACAGAATCTGTAATATATCACTTAAAAAAAAGAAATTCATCAAAACTCTTAGTGGAATGGCTTGCCATGAACCCTACTTATTTATAGACTGTAATATTGATCTCAAGAATATGACATATAAAAATACAATTTAAATTTAAAGGACATATAAACATGACCCCATGATGACATCCCAATCGACCCTCTAGACTTGGTAGTGGACTTCTCACGTCTTTACGATTTTTCCTGAAAAATCATTAAGACCCTTGGTAAGAGTAAAGATGCGATCAATATTTATGAGCACAACAAGTGATAAAGGAACATTTATTTATTTAGGAACAACCTTAACCACGCATCAGATATTTACTTTCAAATTACACTTCATCTCATACATATTCGTTTACATCGCATGGACATAACTTATATATACCACATCGGCAACATATACAACACATATATTTACTTTCATATAATTAAATTATTTCACACAATAAATACCCTCCACGCACACAAACTAATCGCTCTGTAAACAACAACCGCCACACCGACTATATTTATTTGTGCAAATTCTTGCGCCACACAGATCACATGCATCGCAAGCTTATATCACCACATAAATATCATTCATCATTGGGACAACCCAAACGACATTAATGGTTTATGTCCTTCAGACGACCTACATCACATAGTGTTTTTGATCATGTCACTTAGACGACTCCACTACATAATCAAATTTCGTCACATAGACGACTCAGGCCATATAAATAATTCATGTTACTTAAACGACCTAACTCAAATAATCCTCTCTCGTCACTTAAACGACTCTTGTAACACTATCATGTGTCTTCGCTCAATTAATTATTACCAACAATAATCATAGCAAAAATATATATTTAAAAGTCTAATAAATTATCACAAAAAGTTGTAGTGTGGTTCATTTACCTTGCGTGAAGTTTTATCTCGTAGACGACCCCTTCGCCGGAGCTTTTAGTGTGGCGTTTTTAGCAGTGTTCGTCTCCGGACCTGACATAACCAATATTCACAATTCCATTCATATATTAATACGCTTAAATTGGAGATGGTTTACTCGGACCTAGTTTAGTAATTATATCGTTTCGAATTAAATTATTCATTTATATTAAGTAACATTATCTACTCGAATCAATTAAACTAATAGTTTGATAATCAACTCGAGTCAAGTGAAGTAATCCATTCGCATCGAGTAAAATTATCTACTCGAATCAAATTAAGGTAATCTTCTTAAATCCGTTTAGTAAATATTTGTTCGAACCAATTACGTCCAAATTAAACATTTATCATAAAATTATAAACATCACAAAAATATACTTGAATTTGTGTAATTTTCTATTCAAGCATAAAATGACACGTTTACTTGTAATTACTCAAACATATGGATTCATGAAAATTCAAGAATAATTCACAAGATTTATAAATTACCCACCAAACTACTATGTTAATTTTTCTAAGCAACACCCATGGTACTACACATCCATAACAAGCATCCCAATAAACCCACATGCAATAATTCCACTTTTCTATTTTTCATGCAACAACACTAACTTAATTTACACACCCACATAAATATTAAGGTAAATCCTTCATGCATTAAACAAAGTTCAAACTAAACATGATACTTATATATATACAATACCCAAAACACATATAAGATACCATACTTTAAATATATGCAACACTCAAAATGTATATACTAGAGTTGGATTCCTATATCTTAGAATTAGAAAATGGATTATAATTCTTACCTTTGCACTCACACCTTTTTTTTTTTTCCTCTTTCTGTCATCTTCCTTTTATTTGTTCTTCTTTCCTTTTTGTTCTTGTTCTTGCCGAAAATCTCAAAGTAAGACTTTTTGTTTCTATTTTTTGCATGCAAGACATGTTTTCCTGAGTGGAGACCTCCATCATTACTTATATATATATATTATATGTTGTCTTATAGACGTATACTAGGAGTAACCCGTGCCTAAAGGCACGATAAAAACTTAAGAAGGATGTTGGTAGCCGTTAGATGAGTCTATTTAAGACCATCGGATGGACTTATTGAAGCCTGTCCTATTTTATATTATCGATAAACTCAAATTTGCCTGTGTGAAGGTAAAGTAAGACAAAAATTACAGCAAATTTTCTTCCCTATATCAAATTCGAGTGAATTTCAAGACATTCGCAGTCTGTCTCACAATCTCTATTCGTTAACTTCCTCTATNGGATGGACTTATTGAAGCCTGTCCTATTTTATATTATCGATAAACTCAAATTTGCCAGTGTGTGAAGGTAAAGTAAGACAAAAACTACAGCAAATTTTCTTCCCTATATCAAATTCGAGTGAATTTCAAGACATTCGCAGTCTGTCTCACAATCTCTATCCGTTAACTTCCTCTTTTCCACCCCAAAAAAGACGCAATGTATCCAATCCAAACACAAACGAATAGACCTAGATCAACTTCCAAAGAACTTCAACACAATCTAAGCCATGGTAAAATAGATTTACCAACACAAATCCATATGCAGACATTGTTATAACGTATAATTAAGACCTTTTCACAATTTAAAAAGGATCACATATTTCTCAATAATACTAATGCCCTTGTAAACTTGAAAAGTTGACCACCTTTATTGTTAAGTTTGCTGCATTTACGTACAAATCCATATGTAGACATTGTTATAACGTAGAATTAAGACATTTTCACAAGTTAAAAAGAATCACATATATTTCTCAATAACGCTAATGCCATAGTAAACTTGATAAGTTGACCACCTTTTTTGTCAATTCTAATGAAGATATAACAACATAACCCGTTCGGATAGTCCAGTGGAAAGAGTTAGTCTCGGACAAATCACCAACTTAGACATATTGGATTTAAGTGTCTCCCAGATTGTAAGTATACGTGTTCTAGTGTAAACCTCCTTATCTGGAAAAACCAATGTCATCATGCTGGTATTTTCAAAATTAACACTTCTCATCTTCTTATGCAATGAACACAATTCACAGAAAAAAGCTAGTTACATATGGAAATCTACACGGTGCACTTAGCATCTAATAACAATAGAACTTGAAGAAAGAACAATTTTCAAATCCAATACCCAAGAACAGTTGACAAAACCTCCACTGCAAATGCAACTCTTGCCTGTTTTATTCCTCTACCTAGGTGTACCCATTAATTAGATATAGCAAATGGAAAGGACATATAAAGGGTCATCAAAATAACAATCATGTCGGTGGAAGGGTGCACTTAATTCATTAATCAGCAAATTAATAAACAAAAATCTCATCTGAAAACTAACATTTAAAAATGAAAATGGTAGACAATGATTATTTACCAAGTCGAATTGGAAGCGCAGTAATTGTACTCCTTGTTAGCCTATTCCACCATAGTTCACTTAAAATCTCAGATCCACATAATGCTTGAGAGTACACTGTTGTGAACATTGTCATTAGTTGCAACATCAATTTGTAAAAAAGAGAACAGCCAAAACTCATTAAGATCAGAACGAAAGGCACACACCCCCACACATACACACATATAACTTACAACAGCAGCAGCAGTGTAGTCACAGCTGCTATCGAAGCTCAAAACGAACAAGTTGGTCGGCATTGTTTTGAATGTAATTTCAATTTTATGAAATCGTTATTTGCCCAAATTTTTTTGTGACAATCATAAAGCTCCATTCTCCAAATCTTCATATTGCCCTGCGATGTGAGGCAAAAGTATCCTAAGTGAAAATATTGGCTTCATTAGTATGCTCAATTTTGAATGCAAGAAACTAATTCAATATGTACCAAATGATGCAACCAATTCAGTAGGGTACCAAACAACAAATATTTATACTGTGGTGAGAGAGAAAGCATGAAGAAGGAGAATTGGGGAAGACATTCAGGCATGTAATGTGCAGTATATTAGGTCAATATTTTGGGGATAATTTTTGGTATGGAAAGGAGATGGCAGAGATGGCATTGTAGTATGGAAAGGAGATCACAGAGCTACATGAAAGATCATAGAGATCATATCTGTGTGTTCGCTGCGTGAATTGGGTGATCAGAGTGAGTGCAGCGTGTGTGTATGTGTGTGGGTGGGGGCGTTAATTGGGGGAGTGAGTGTTACAGAGAGAATTGGGGGCAGAGTTAAATGGGATTTTGCAAAATATTAGGGAAGGAGATTAAGGCAGAAAAAATATTAAATGGACACAGAGATGCTGTGATTGAGGTATTCAAATTTTTTGGGATTGAAAAAATAATAAAGACTTCTTTTGGTCCATTGGATCAAAAATTTTGAAATGATCTGAGACGTCAATAGCTCGAGACAGTTTGAGATGGCGTTGTCCGTTAGATGATGTCTTTTTTGGTCATTAAATGATCTGAACCACTCTTTGTCTCTTGAATTCAAAATCGTTCTACTTTATTATATAGATATGTATACATACTTATATGTATATATCTACTTTTTTTTTTATATACATATTTATACATAGACATGTATATATATATATCCAAAATATTGATCACCCATTAAATTTATATTTTGGACCCTTAACCATTTCTTGTATATACTAACACATTTTATTTTAATAACAATAACTTGATGTTACATGGTTATCACTCAATTAATTCCACATGCGCTAACGTGTATAAAATAATAAAGTCATATCTCATGTCAACATTCTTATTTAACTTTTTACACTCAAATAAAACAATTTTCCCTATAATCATTATTTATAAATTATCTTTGAATATTAAAATATTCATTGTTTAAGCTCAGGTCTCATATCGTTACTCGTAATTAAATAATGGTTGTCAATCCTACGTATGCATGTTGCATGTGAATATGCTTATTACAAATATTATATTTTTATCATGCGTGTTCGGGTGTTACACTTTTGGTACCTTGGGTGGATTATGCATAGGGAGTAAGAGATTGGATTAATCATAGAATCAAAGTAGGATGAATTAAATGGAGGTGTGCTTCTGGCATATTATGTGATAAAAGCAAATGTGTAGAAAGATATATCAAGAACCATATTATGTGATAATAGCAAATGTATTTGAAATATGTAAAAGCGCTTTATAGTAGTACTAGCTTTAAATCATAGAAGCAAAGCAACNTTGTACCAAATGATGCAACCAATTCAGTAGGGTACCAAACAACAAATATTTATACTGTGGTGAGAGAGAAAGCATGAAGAAGGAGAATTGGGGAAGACATTCAGGCATGTAATGTGCAGTATATTAGGTCAATATTTTGGGGATAATTTTTGGTATGGAAAGGAGATGGCAGAGATGGCATTGTAGTATGGAAAGGAGATCACAGAGCTACATGAAAGATCATAGAGATCATATCTGTGTGTTCGCTGCGTGAATTGGGTGATCAGAGTGAGTGCAGCGTGTGTGTATGTGTGTGGGTGGGGGCGTTAATTGGGGGAGTGAGTGTTACAGAGAGAATTGGGGGCAGAGTTAAATGGGATTTTGCGAAATATTAGGGAAGGAGATTAAGGCAGAAAAAATATTAAATGGACACAGAGATGCTGTGATTGAGGTATTCAAATTTTTTGGGATTGAAAAAATAATAAAGACTTCTTTTGGTCTATTGGATCAAAAATTTTGAAATGATCTGAGACGTCAATAGCTCGAGACAGTTTGAGATGGCGTCGTCCGTTAGATGATGTCTTTTTTGGTCATTAAACGATCTGAACCACTCTTTGTCTCTTGAATTCAAAATCGTTCTACTTTATTATATAGATATGTATACATACTTATATGTATATATCTACTTTTTTTTTTATATACATATTTATACATAGACATGTATATATATATATCCAAAATATTGATCACCCATTAAATTTATATTTTGGACCCTTAACCATTTCTTGTATATACTAACACATTTTATTTTAATAACAATAACTTGATGTTACATGGTTATCACTCAATTAATTCCACATGCGCTAACGTGTATAAAATAATAAAGTCATATCTCATGTCAACATTCTTATTTAACTTTTTACACTCAAATAAAACAATTTTCCCTATAATCATTCATTATTTATAAATTATCTTTGAATATTAAAATATTCATTGTTTAAGCTCAGGTCTCATATCGTTACTCGTAATTAAATAATGGTTGTCAATCCTACGTATGCATGTTGCATGTGAATATGCTTATTACAAATATTATATTTTTATCATGCGTGTTCGGGTGTTACACTTTTGGTACCTTGGGTGGATTATGCATAGGGAGTAAGAGATTGGATTAATCATAGAATCAAAGTAGGATGAATTAAATGGAGGTGTGCTTCTGGCATATTATGTGATAAAAACAAATGTGTAGAAAGATATATCAAGAACCATATTATGTGATAAAAGCAAATGTATTTGAAATATGTAAAAAGCGCTTTATAGTAGTACTAGCTTTAAATCATAGAAGCAAAGCAACGCTAGTCTAGAGATCCTAATTGATACGTGCATACTAAAAGAACATGGTACAACAATTATTAAAACTACTAACTCGAGTGGAATCTCCTGCCAACACTAAAAGGAAATGTGTAGGGTTCGTCTCAGTTAGGAATTGATTTTTGTACACCACAATTTCAAATATAAAGAGAATAGAAAAAAAAGTAATATGGTATTATCAATATGTAATTTAGATAGGAGAAATGAAACCCCTATAACGCTTCTTGGCATCACACAAGCTGCAATGATGAACAAACTCTCTTTTTGCTTTAAATTTTGAGAAAGACTCCATTATGGGAAAGAAAAAAGGTCGGGTAGGAATCACTATCTCTCTCTCTTTTGGGATAAGTGGGATGGTAGGAATAGTTTCATTGGACCTCTATCTAGAGAGAATGTTGGACATCTATTTTCTATGTGGATTTAGTGTGCTTCCAAGTTTGGCTTGAAATTTCCATACGTTATTATGCCTGTCAAATGTGACGTATGTGTCCCACGTATTGCATGTATATTTGGAAGACTTTTTGTACTGTTAATTTTTATTTTCTTGCATTTTATTTTTTTCTTAGTTTCTTAATCCAATAGGGGTTAAAATTGTTGATTGTAAGCAAAGATACATTAAAGGTTGCATGGATGATCAAATCGTAATGAAAGTGTGGCCATTATATTTTTTAGATGATCTGATTACTAAAACCAAAATAAATTTGGACTTATTTTTTTTGTTTGATGAATTATCATCATGCCTTTGATTATGACCTATGAAGTACGTATATTTCGTTGAGATTGACGTATCCGTATCAGATATCGTATTGGATAGGATACTCGTCGGATACTTGAAGATATATATCGGATATACCTTCTACGTATCCGATAATAATTAAATATTAGAATACTTTACGGATACTTTTGTAGTCGAGCAACATATATAATTTTTAGTTGAACTTTTAACATTTCTTTTTGAATTCACATACCATACAATACATTAACAAAAAATTCATTTNAGCTGCAATGATGAACAAACTCTCTTTTTGCTTTAAATTTTGAGAAAGACTCCATTATGGGAAAGAAAAAAGGTCGGGTAGGAATCACTATCTCTCTCTCTTTTGGGATAAGTGGGATGGTAGGAATAGTTGCATTGGACCTCTATCTAGAGAGAATGTTGGACATCTATTTTCTATGTGGATTTAGTGTGCTTCCAAGTTTGGCTTGAAATTTTCCATACGTTATTATGCCTGTCAAATGTGACGTATGTGTCCCACGTATTGCATGTATATTTGGAAGACTTTTTGTACTGTTAATTTTTATTTTCTTGCATTTTATTTTTTTCTTAGTTTCTTAATCCAATAGGGGTTAAAATTGTCGATTGTAAGCAAAGATACATTAAAGGTTGCATGGATGATCAAATCGTAATGAAAGTGTGGCCATTATATTTTTTAGATGATCTGATTACTAAAACCAAAATAAATTTGGACTTATTTTTTTTATTTGATGAATTATCATCATGCCTTTGATTATGACCTATGAAGTACGTATATTTCGTTGAGATTGACGTATCCGTATCAGATATCGTATTGGATAGGATACTCGTCGGATACTTGAAGATATATATCGGATATACCTTCTACGTATCCGATAATAATTAAATATTAGAATACTTTACGGATACTTTTGTAGTCGAGCAACATATATAATTTTTAGTTGAACTTTTAACATTTCTTTTTGAATTCACATACCATACAATACATTAACAAAAAATTCATTTTACTTCAAAGGTATATGAGTGTTTTTTAAGTATTATCTACAGTTACATGTCAAAAGAGCATAAAATAAAACTATTACATTGTAATCTTAGCAAAAATTACTTCTAAATACTAGGTAAATATTAACTTTGATTCCTTTAATTAGTCATTTCACTTTGTGAATATACCATATCTTGAAACTAAAAAAAATTACTAATTTTCCTTATTATATGTTAAAGAACTACCAAAATATATAAGTACTAAGTTGGTTGAAAATAATAAAAATATTAAATGTATTTTATTATAGCTGTATCTTGGCCGTACACGAATCCTACTTTTTTAGATTTTGTCGTATCGCCGTATATCGTATCCCGTATCCGTATTTGTACTTCATAGATTATGACTGATTTAGGTACTGATGAGGATTGAAACTATGCATAATATATCTCTCCAAACTTTTTTTATTTTATCTGGATTTTTTACTTTTTGAAATTGCAGGCATATGCCGATGCTGGCACTGTGAATCAAAATTATGCAAGTATTCTATTGATGCTTTTGCGCCTTCGGCAGGCTTGTGACCACCCACTTCTTGTAAAGGGATTCAATTCTGAATCTGTTGGAAAAATTTCCTTAGATATGGTGAAGAAACTTCCGAGGGATATTGCGATCGATCTATTGAATTTCTTGGAACCTTCCTTGGTTATCTGTCTTGTGTGCAGTGTAAGTGTGCCCTTATCTTTATCCTTCTTTCCTTGTGTATTGTGGTGACCATTTTACTTTTAGTTGTCAAAATAACTTCTTGGTGTGGTTTTATGCTTTCTTAAAAGCATGCAATATCTGAATGTTGTTCTGTTGCAATATTCCCTATGAGATTGTTGGTTGCCCCATTATATGCATCTATCTTGGTGAGAATTTCTGGGGGCAAGAATGTCTGTGAATGTTTTCATAGAGATGCATGAAAAAGAGTGCATATTGAAGTCTTAACATGCTGATGTTCTTCCCATTGCCTTCGCCACCTTTGGCTGTATGTAATTCCAGATCATCAACAGGAAATGATGGTTTTTTAGTTATGGTCTCAGTACTGTCAATGTTGTGGAATTTAATATCCTACATTCCATTTGTTTGCACTATGGTTTGTTGTGAACTGGGTAGTATGTTCTCATCCATGAAGTGTTCCATTTACTTCTGTGTGTGTGTTAGTCACATTGAAAATGACATCAAATCCAGTCTAATTTTTCACATTTTTTCAATTGCATTCTATCATGAAATATAAATAGGTCTAGTATCTAATAGCTGTGAGGTATCTTTATGTAGTACTTGCTGAACAGCTGTCCCACGAAAACATGCATGTATTTTGTTGTTGCTGTGCGGTTGATGTCTTCTACTACATGTTTTAAAGTCTTCTTTCATTCCTTTCTGGTACAAAAGAAACTCTCTTCCTCCATCCAGCCTCCCCCTCACCCCAAAACCCACCCACCAACCAAAAGCACCTCTTCCTGAAGTGAATCCTTTTATCATGGGCTATATTTTATAAGCTAATAATGAGCCAGTCCTGCTCCACGGATAGAATGCTGGATAACTAAAAAGTATAAAGTGTACATAAAATGGCTCACTTGTCAAAAAATAAAAATAAAATAAAATGAGTCAAAATGAGACTGGTAATATGAATGGATTACAGGACCACAAAAAGGGTTAAGAATAAATACATTTGCCAGATCATAGAAGTAGCACCTAGTGAAGACAAGTTGAGAAACCTACTAAAATGTATAAGGCACATACAACAGAACCAGTAGAGAATAAGTTTCCAACTAACGTAGCTGGGTTCGTGTATAAGATATATATAGTGCTCTGAAAATAACAGATTTACAAGAATGTACAAAAATGTGAAATGACAATGTAGTCAAACACCCTCCTTCAATCTGAGCTGGAGCTACAGACGTTCAGCTAGGTTAATAAGTGCGTGAAATGAGCTGCATAGAACGGCTTGGTAAAGATGTCTTCCAATTAATGAGAAGTTGGAATATGATGAACTTGCATATCTCCAAGCACAACTTTTTTAAGAGCAAAATGATAATCAATGGCAACATGTTTAGCGAGAATGAAGAATTGGATTCTGAGATGAGTACGTGGCTCCTATATTCTCACAAAATGCTTGAGATGGTTGTTGATGTTGAACATGAAGATCACAAAAAAGTTGTTGAATCCAAGTGACTTCGGCTGTAGCAGCCTCAAAAGCTCGATATTCGGCCTCAGTACTTAAATGATCAACAGTGGGTTGTTTTCTAGCTGACCATGAAATTAAGTTATTGTCAAAAAAGATATAGAATCCCAAAGTAGAACGCCTACTATCACGACAGCTAACCCAACCAACATCGGAGTACATTGCCAACCAAGGTGTAGAGTCTCGGTACAAAAGAAGACAATGATCGATGATCCCTCTTAAGATATCAAAAAATGCACTTAGCCACCTGTAATTGATGTGTACAAAGAGCTTGCATAAACTGAGAGGCAAGATTAACAACATAAGCGAGGTCGGTACGTGTAAGTGCGAGGTATAACCGTCTACCAACAAGTTGGTGATATTTAGTGGGATCATCCAAAGGCTTGCCATTAGTGGTACTCCAAACCTGTTTAATGTTGAGTGGAGTAGCAATAGGCTTCGCAGCAGCTATATAGTATTTGGAAACAGATAAAAAATTTGGGAATTTATGTCTCCCAAAACAATTTGAAACTTTGGTCAAAATATACCAACAGTCTTCCAATGCTTTTAATTTCTCCATGTAGGGGTGAGAGTTGCATGCATTGGAGAGGGTTAGAGCTTATCCTATATCAATAAAATAACATCTCTGAAACTAATGTATCATCGTTGCGAAGCCTCATCACCCATTGTCAATTGGTTTGAGTTTTATTATTAGAAAAAAAATCATCATCAAAGACAAATTGTCATCTTCATATGATTCCGCATTGATTCTCACAAATAAGCACTCATTGTTTCCATAATATCATTGAACGAGAAGGGATCAAATGTATTAACACAGAGAATATTGATGTCTCAAAGGAAGTTAGTTAGCCCAAAAATATTTCCACACAGAAGAAGGGGAAAAAAACGAGAATCTTTGCGCCTTGCTTAATCGCCTATCGAAGTTGTGTAGCTTGAGGCTAGTTCAGGCGCAAGGGGTACATCTGGAGTTGCCTTGAACCAAGGCGCCGGTCTAGGGGAAACTTTTACAACACTGCCAATCACTCACAGCACACCCCATCCCACCAGCTAAACCTTCTTTAACAGGAATTTTTTCCAACAACTAAACTCTTAGATATATTTACCTTCAAAATTTTGTTCCAACTAGTTGGGACTAGCCACATGAATCCTAATTTGGTGTGCGGCTCTAAGTAATGATATATGCCCATTATTGTTTTTGTTTTATTGAGTAATCGATGCTTAATTGTGTTTTTTACTCTCCTGCTATAGTTTTCTTGTGACATTATTTGATTAGCTAAAATAAACAGTTTGCTTTCATACGGCAATCTTCTTTAAACTTTCAATTATGTAATGCTTCTACAGGATCCACCTGAAGATGAAGTTGTTACTTCGTGTGGCCATGTTTTCTGCTATCAGTGCGTGTCAGATTATTTGACGGGAGATGACAATATGTGTCCTGCACCTGAATGCAAAGCACAGCTTGGTCCTGATTCTGTATTTTCCAAGGCTATCTTACGGAGTTGTATTTTTGATGAGCCAGATAAAAGTCCCCGGAGCCCATCTGGATTTGCTGAGAAGTCTATTGTTCTTCAGGATGAGTATAGTTCTTCTAAAATCAAAGCTGCTCTTCAAATTCTCGAGTCACATTGTAGATCAAAGGATCCTAGTCCAGAGCCATTTAACTTGGTTCGATGTAATGGAAACTCTACATCTTTAGCAAAGGAATGCTCAGAATCACAAACTAACGGACCTATAAAAGCTATTGTTTTCTCTCAGTGGACTAGCATGTTGGACCTGCTGGAAATTTCTTTGAACCAGTCTTGTAAGCAATTCAGGAGGCTTGATGGAACAATGAGTCTGGCTTCTAGGGATAAGGCTGTCAAAGAATTCAACTCTGATCCTGAGGTTCAACTTCTATCTTGTGGTGTGAAAATAATTTTCAAATTCTTTGAAGTATTCGTGATTTGTTTAAGATGAGTATCTGACTTACTATTTTCTAAGGTAAGGTTCCTTGGACTCTAGTGATAAAACTCCTTCTCAGTTCTCCATATAGTTAGGAACATAGTTGGCAGCTCATGATAAGGTTCCTTGGACTCTAGTGATCAAACTCCCTCTCCATATAGTTTAGGAACATAGTTGGCAACTCATGTACCATTCTNTATTTTCTAAGGTAAGGTTCCTTGGACTCTAGTGATAAAACTCCTTCTCAGTTCTCCATATAGTTAGGAACATAGTTGGCAACTCATGATAAGGTTCCTTGGACTCTAGTGATCAAACTCCCTCTCCATATAGTTTAGGAACATAGTTGGCAACTCATGTATCATTTTATGATCATTTTCCTAATTTTTTGTCTAATTGGTTTGTACTTTGTGTGCACTTTTTTAGTCATGAGTTAGATATCAGGAAGTTGCATTCCGAAAGCAACCTNTGTGTAGCTTGAGGCTAGTTCAGGCGCAAGGGGTACATCTGGAGTTGCCTTGAACCGAGGCGCAGGTCTAGGGGAAACTTTTACAACACTGCCAATCACTCACAGCACACCCCATCCCACCAGCTAAACCTTCTTTAACAGGAATTGTTTCCAACAACTAAACTCTTAGATATATTTACCTTCAAAATTTTGTTCCAACTAGTTGGGACTAGCCACATGNCTGCACACAAGCCTGACACCCGTTCATCGTAATATCCCTTCTTCCAATTTTTATACAAAGAACTAGGACGAAATATCAATGCAAAAACCTTAAAAACTCATCTTTTGTGGTCAAACAACAACAGTGTTAAAGTNCTGCACACAAGCCTGACACCCGTTCATCGTAATATCCCTTCTTCCAATTTTTATACGAAGAACTAGGACGAAATATCAATGCAAAAACCTTAAAAACTCATCTTTTGTGGTCAAACAACAGTGTTAATATAACCTCAAAACTTAAATTGTACTATCTTGCGTGCTTTTTTTCGAGAAATGGGAATAGATTACAAAATAGTAAACGAAACCATTGTCAGCTTGAGTTGTATATCATACAACCTCTAGACAAAGGTTCTGTTTTAGATCCTAGTTCTCAATGCTCGCAAATCCATGCCTGAAATGAAAAATTTGAAACTTCAAATGTGTTTGAATATTTTCAATTTGATTGAAAAGAAAAAAGCAGTCAAATCAGGATTAATATGATGAATCATTGTCCTATATTTTTGGGAGGGAGAAATCCTATATTTTTTAATGGCAAAGCACGTTATATAAAGTTAAATTTGAAATTGTATAGGAATTGCTAGGTACACGTAGAAATTAAAACACCGTGTTGCCTGTTGGATCTTGTAACACATGACTTTCCATAGTGATTTGATCACATCGTCTAGTGGGTAAGGTTTGCAATATTTGCCATCATCCTCTTGTTGGTAGCGATGGGAGTGGACCGAAGCAGAGGCGGGGTGTAGTTTCCATCCCCATACCCGCCTAAAAAAATTCCATCCATCTCTTGTCTACTCTCGTTAACAGGAACTGTTTTCATCCTTATTTTCGTCCGTGGGTAAATTGTAATCCCAAAAACATTCCCAGTCTTCACCCCCTCCCCTCCTCGGTACTTGCCCAGTTAGCAACACACAGATCCTGAACTCTATCTGCAGCATATCCTTAGTTCATACGCCAAAAATAAGAAAAAAATCAAATCAGTACAACCCCTTTTTTTAGTTGAATTTTTGGTTATGAAATACATAATTTTGTCTTGTTAAGATGTTTCAAATCTTTAATTTTTTTCGGTAAGTGTTTCAGATATTTATTAGGCATCTAGATACCTTACAAATTGCCTATAACATAAGAAAAATCAAATTAAAAAGAAAAAGTTGGGAAAACAAATGAGGGGTTTTAACAGTACTTAACACTTATTGCAAGGAAAAAAAAAGCCTTTTATCCTTTTAACAAAAGCAAGAGAAAGAGATTTGTTTTTCATGTATACATACGGACAAACAAACATATAAGTGAGAGAGAGCAAGAGTTACTTGCAGTAATCAACATTGGAGAGATCAATAATCAACGAGGATACAACTTGAGTGCTCCTGTCATCAACATAAAGGAAACGATGAACAGAGAGCGACAGAGATAGATCATGGAGAGAGAGAAGCCATAGAGCGAGAGGGACGGAGCGTAGGGGAGAGAGAGAGAGTGTTACCTTACTGCCTGGTCAGCTAGCGATCAATGATGGGGAGATTAGGATTGAATAATTGATAGACTTGGGGTTGGGACTCTGTGGAGGCGGAGGAATAGAGATAGATGAGTGATTCAGTTAGGCCTAATTTGTTTTGTTTGGGACTTGGGAGAATATTTAATTATTTATTTTATATATATATATATATATATATATATATAACGAGTATAGTGGGGTGGGGTGGGGACGAGGCGGAGGTAAGTGTCAGTTCATCTTTGCGTTTATCTCTGCACGGGTTCACCGTCCAATACGTATGGTTTATCTCCGGTCCAAACAGGACGAGTTTGGAAGAATACCCGTTTTTTTCTGGTCCACAACCATCCCTACTTATTGGGTGAAACCATGTGCTGTCCATGGAGTTGCCCGACTCCATAGACCTTCAAGAAATGAAACACTGATTTGTTTTGAAAGGGTCTTGTGTGGTTAACCCCACTAAAATGATGGAATTATTGGGAAGGATATAATAAATGGGTTAATGTTAAAGATACAGATAAACTTTCTCCTAGCATTCTAATAATATGAAGAACAAGGATCGAAATTTTGTTTCAAAGTATCGATTCGGTCAGCTCAAAAATAAAAATGCAATGGAAACGCATAAAAAATATGGAAACTCGTGGACACAAATAAAATTTATTTATTTATAATAATAAGCTAAATAATTGATTAATTCAACATATTTATTGGGTTAATATCCATTTATACAAGAATAAATTTAAATTGGAAGTAAAAAAGGCTTGACATAAGGCAGAAATCACTTAAATTAGTTTAAAACACTTAATTTTCATCAAATAAACACACTTTTACATAATGTTAAGGTCTCATAACATTAAATGTAATTGTAGTGGGTATCAAATGTAATTGTAATGGGTATCGATTGCAGTGGGTATTAAGTATTAAATGTAATTGCAGTGGGGTAATAAATGTAATTACAATGGGTATTAAATGTAATTATTAAATGTAATTGCAATGGTTATTAACTATTAAATGTAATTGCAGTGGGTATTAAATGTAATTATAGTGAGGTATTAAATGTAATTATTCATACTTATAACAAAAAAAATATATAAAAGGCAAAATAGTTGACACACGAACGACTCAGACAAAAACACTGAGAGGCGAGAAAGAGGCGTAGGCGATTGTGATGCCGGAGATAGAGACAGAGAGAGAGAAGAAGAAGAAGAACATACCAGTGGTAGCTCGTGGTTGCAGCTCGCCGCGATGAAGACAGGAGTCAAAGAGGATCTGCGTGAAAAATTTGAAAATGGTTGGATCTGCTCAAATCTGAACTCAAGGAGGTAAGTTACTCAAGTCTTTTCCTTCAATTTCTCTGTCTCTTCGATTTTTTGTGGTGCCTTTCTCTCTCTCTTCTTTGTTTTTTTTTTTGCTTGGAGGACCTGTGAATTTTGACTTGTGGAATCTGTTTTTTGAGCCTCTATGATTTTTTCTTTTGGCCCGGAGTGAACCGAATCTATACTGTTTCGTCAAAACGGTATTGTTTCGACCGAAATGGTCCTACATAGTGCCGTTTCAACCGAAACATTGAAATTTTATAATTCATCCCATGTTTTGTATCAGTGTGTTGAAATTCCAAAACGGTTCGACACGACATTTCGTTGCTTGATGAAGAATCTGTTATTCTAACCGTCCAAATTTTCACACCATGCCCTGCTTCACATTAGTTTTTTGATTTAGACAAAAATAAATAATAAAAAGTCTTCATTAGTATTTTATCCTCCAAGGGGTGTAGACTTCTTGTTTGTTGTACTCAACACACGATCCTTATGGATGTCCAATTTGTAAAGACGCCCCCCGAATGGGAACAAATTGGCTGACAACATGTGCGTATTGATTTTGTATTTATTCTTGTATCAATTCTTTTGGAATTTGGCTAGATTTATGACAAAAAAATAACGATTATATATTTTCTTGGTTAAATTGCAACTAATGACATCAAGCCATTGTACGCTTTCATTTAATTTCCTTTTGTTAAAGAAAACTTAGTGCCTTTGGTAAAGTTTTTAAAGTTTGGATACCAATTATTTTAATTTTACCCTCTAAGCAACTGATGCTTCATTTGGGCACAACCACTATCATATATCTTGGAAACAAGTTTGCAGATTTTATTAGAAACATTAGATCAATCACTAGATAAAATTAAGTACTCGGCTAAAAACTAAAAGCACTAAACCCTTTTATACCCAAAAATTAAGCGTGAGTAAAAATATATGGGAGAATGTTGTGTGAATTAGTTCTATGAGGAGAGAAACATCGTATTTCTCTGTCACTTGAAGTAAAGTCAAGAGATCTTAAATAGCATAAAAGGGAAGAAGTGGCAAAGATGTTTATGTATGTTGGCCTCGACAAAAATTATCAAATTCAAAGTTGATGTGGTCATGGAAACACCCTGGTGTGATCCATTTTTGACAGGGGTATTGAATAGTTGCAACTTGCAGGTGAACAATTTCCATGGGACAAGGTAATCATGAAATCTTGGCTAGTGTATGTTGCACCTCATACTGCTTGTTGACCGAAATTCATGAACTTGGTTATCTTAGGGACGAGGATCAAAATTTCGTTTCAGTGTATTGTTTTGGTTAGTTAGAAAACAGAAACGTTTTTGAAACGTGGAAATGTATACAAATTTTGAGAGTTTATTTTCAAAATATTATGAAACATTAGTCAAAACATATCGAAACAATCTGAAACAATGGTGGGAATATATCGAAACATCTTAAAACATCTCTAAACAATCTGAAACACCTTGAAGCATTAGAATTTCGATTTCATTACTGTTTCGTTTTGATCCTCTTGGAAACAGAAACGTTTCGGCCGTTTCAAAACGAAATTTTGATCCTTGCTTAGGGAACATATAGTGGATATGCATAAATGCTTATATGCTTGTTTCTTTCTCTTGTTTGAAAGTAGCAGATATGGAATATCGTATTCTTCTATGGGGAAAGTAGGTGGGAAGAAGTTGTGAATTGTGCGGTTCATTTTTAAATCGATTAATATCAAATTTTAAGATTTGAATGGCTAGTTCTATGTAGTTTTATTGATTATAACTGAAATTCTGCGATTTGTTGTCTTTGTTTACTTTGGTTGAGATATTGAGCTGCAGTGTACACGATGTATCCTATATTAAAATTGCACTCTGTAGCGGACAGTACATGCTTCTCTGTGATGCAATGCACTATATTTGGTGAAATGTGAATGATAGGTATCAAGCTGTACCCAATGATACATGGGTGAAGTGTATCTTATGATTTTGAGAATCATGTTTGAGAATTGTATCTATTCACATTGCATGTAAATTTTCTATAATTATATATTTTGTTTGTTTGGAACTATGTTGTCAATCATTGGTTGATTTAATCTTGTTATGTTACGGTTAATTTTAGTTTAGGTTTTATTCTCTATTTGGTATAATTGACTTCCTACTGTTATACATAATCTGGGGTGTAGTTGTATGACCCAACAGTCTAACATGCTATCCTTCACACATTATTTTTCTCCTCTCCATCTATTTTCAAGCCTCTCTTCTTTTCTTGAAACCCTAAAACTTTACAATCAAACTATTCTCTATTTAGCTTACTTTTTGTTGTTTAGTGTCACAATCTGGATTATGATTTCATGTTTAAAACCTGCAATTTGTTGCAGGTGACTGTTATGCTGATGTCACTAAAAGCTGGGAATCTTGGTCTAAACATGGTAGCTGCTTGTCAAGTAATCCTTTTGGATCTTTGGTGGAATCCAACTACTGAAGATCAGGCCATTGATCGAGCTCATAGAATTGGACAGACTCGTCCTGTTATCGTATCACGCCTCACTATTAAAAACACAGTTGAAGATCGGATTTTAGCTCTCCAGGTATAAATTTTTACTTCACTTTGTGTTGTTAGCTTGCCACGTAAGTGATATATACCTGATAAAAATACCTCTTCATCATAATCTGCCTTCTGTATGGAATTATATTTCTCTTTCGTTTTTCCATCTATTTGTTTGCTTGAACATATCATTTCCTACACTCTCAATTAACTGATGTATGGTAGATATCAAAGGAATTGATTTCGTTCAGACACCAAGTGATTGTTCTTTTTGATTGGAAACGTTCAACTTGTTGATTAAAATGTATTACATCATAAAATCTACAAGGTAGACAAGGTGACTATTTTTCAATGCTTGATCATCATTTGCATAGTTGAAATAGTAAAAATAATATTAGGGTTAGAAAGGAGGAATTGAGAAAGAGAAGAGACAAAGAATGAAAAGAATAATCGAATTGTGTAGGCTAGCAATATTAAGGTGACTAGAATATTACCCTACACTAATTGACTTGTGTCTAATATAGAAAATAAGAATTCTAACCTCCACTCAAGCTGGAGTATAAATATAAAAAATGCCCAACTTGGAACATAAAGTGCTGAAGGCTGGGCAAGCCAATGGTTTGGTAAGAATGTCACTTCAACGATTGCCTTGATATATGGAGTGATGATCTTCTTTCACAATAAGAGATCTCGAATGAAATGACAATCCACCTCAGTTTGTTTGGTATACTCATTAAATACCGGATTACTTACGATGAAAATAGTTGCGATGAAATACTTGTGATGAAATATTGAATTACTTGTGATGAAATACTGAATTACTTGCGATGAAATGACGATCCACCTCATTGTGTTTGGTATGTTTACGAAGTAAAGAATAGACCTATAACATCTCACAAGTAGTATGTGTTGTAATACAATACTCGGCGTCTTTCAAGTAACCAGATTACCATCGACAAATGTACGANAAAGAATAGACCTATAACATCTCACAAGTAGTATGTGTTGTAATACAATACTCGGCCTCTGCCAAGTAACCAGATTACCATCGACAAATGTACAANTCAATTTCATTACTGTTTCGTTTTGATCCTCTTGGAAACAGAAACGTTTCGGCCGTTTCAAAACGAAATTTTGATCCTTGCTTAGGGAACATATAGTGGATATGCATAAATGCTTATATGCTTGTTTCTTTCTCTTGTTTGAAAGTAGCAGATATGGAATATCGTATTCTTCTATGGGGAAAGTAGGTGGGAAGAAGTTGTGAATTGTGCGGTTCATTTTTAAATCGATTAATATCAAATTTTAAGATTTGAATGGCTAGTTCTATGTAGTTTTATTGATTATAACTGAAATTCTGCGATTTGTTGTCTTTGTTTACTTTGGTTGAGATATTGAGCTGCAGTGTACACGATGTATCCTATATAAAAAATGCACTCTGTAGCGGACAGTACATGCTTCTCTGTGATGCAATGCACTATACTTGGTGAAATGTGAATGATAGGTATCAAGCTGTACCCAATGATACATGGGTGAAGTGTATCTTATGATTTTGAGAATCATGTTTGGGAATTGTATCTATTCACATTGCATGTAAATTTTCTATAATTATATATTTTGTTTGTTTGGAACTATGTTGTCAATCATTGGTTGATTTAATCTTGTTATGTTACGGTTAATTTTAGTTTAGGTTTTATTCTCTATTTGGTATAATTGACTTCCTACTGTTATACATAATCTGGGGTGTAGTTGTATGACCCAACAGTCTAACATGCTATCCTTCACACATTATTTTTCTCCTCTCCATCTATTTTCAAGCCTCTCTTCTTTTCTTGAAACCCTAAAACTTTACAATCAAACTATTCTCTATTTAGCTTACTTTTTGTTGTTTAGTGTCACAATCTGGATTATGATTTCATGTTTAAAACCTGCAATTTGTTGCAGGTGACTGTTATGCTGATGTCACTAAAAGCTGGGAATCTTGGTCTAAACATGGTAGCTGCTTGTCAAGTAATCCTTTTGGATCTTTGGTGGAATCCAACTACTGAAGATCAGGCCATTGATCGAGCTCATAGAATTGGACAGACTCGTCCTGTTATCGTATCACGCCTCACTATTAAAAACACAGTTGAAGATCGGATTTTAGCTCTCCAGGTATAAATTTTTACTTCACTTTGTGTTGTTAGCTTGCCACGTAAGTGATATATACCTGATAAAAATACCTCTTCATCATAATCTGCCTTCTGTATGGAATTATATTTCTCTTTCGTTTTTCCATCTATTTGTTTGCTTGAACATATCATTTCCTACACTCTCAATTAACTGATGTATGGTAGATATCAAAGGAATTGATTTCGTTCAGACACCAAGTGATTGTTCTTTTTGATTGGAAACGTTCAACTTGTTGATTAAAATGTATTACATCATAAAATCTAAAAGGTAGACAAGGTGACTATTTTTCAATGCTTGATCATCATTTGCATAGTTGAAATAGTAAAAATAATATTAGGGTTAGAAAGGAGGAATTGAGAAAGAGAAGAGACAAAGAATGAAAAGAATAATCGAATTGTGTAGGCTAGCAATATTAAGGTGACTAGAATATTACCCTACACTAATTGACTTGTGTCTAATATAGAAAATAAGAATTCTAACCTCCACTCAAGCTGGAGTATAAATATAAAAAATGCCCAACTTGGAACATAAAGTACTGAAGGCTGGGCAAGCCAATGGTTTGGTAAGAATGTCACTTCAACGATTGCCTTGATATATGGAGTGATGATCTTCTTTCACAATAAGAGATCTCGAATGAAATGACAATCCACCTCAGTTTGTTTGGTATACTCATTAAATACCGGATTACTTACGATGAAAATAGTTGCGATGAAATACTTGTGATGAAATATTGAATTACTTGTGATGAAATACTGAATTACTTGCGATGAAATGACGATCCACCTCATTGTGTTTGGTATGTTTACGAAGTAAAGAATAGACCTATAACATCTCACAAGTAGTATGTGTTGTAATACAATACTCGGCCTCTGCCAAGTAACCAGATTACCATCGACAAATGTACGATAGTCAGAAGTAGATTGTATCACTATGACTACTTACCTAGTTAGCGATAGACAAACCAACAACAGTTATAGATAATAATGAATGATATAATAATCCTTTCTTGCAAGCCCTTTTTAGATACCGAAGTACACGACAGGCTACCTCCCAATGAGACTTACGAGGGGCATTTATGAAATGATTAACCATACCAATAACATATGTAATATCAGGGCATGTAATTGTAAGATAAATTAGCTTACTAACCAACTTCCGATAATGCCCTATATCATTTAAAACTTCACCACTTTTAGGATTTAGCTTAATTGTAGGGTCTATGGGTGTATCAATTAGAAGCGCACCAAGAGTACCAGTTTCAGATAGTTAGTCTAGTACTAATAATGCTTGCAGAAGACCGACGAATGCAAACTGAATGATCAAAGAAGGAGAAGGAAAATAGAAGAAAATAGATAAGAGGGGGGCATTATGGTCTTTTTATTGCTGCCATTAATGGAGTTAGCTGTTTATTTGGGTCAAAATTACATGGGCTTATGTTGTTATATTTGAAACATACATGGGTGAAGTGTAATAAGGTCAAACCACAAAGGGGTTAAAAGAAGTTTTCTATTTCATCTTAAGCAAATACAATATTCAGGATAGATTGAGATTCTCATGTGATTGTTTGGGTGACAACTTGAAACCAATGCAAATATATTTTTCAGCGATGGTTTCCTTCTCACAGTTTATTAAATTCATTGTTGTGTGTGTGAAGGGGTTACATACCCTTATTGTTATTTTCTTAACTTTATCGATTATCCCCTTCTCATAATGCTCAAATTGCTCTATTGTGTTTTTAACTTGTCCCATGAGTTGAAACTTTGATTTAATAATTAATTATAGCTAGGTTATTGAGTCGTTATGGCAGTTTTTGATAAAAGAGGGTGATCTATTCTTTCGTCCGTAATTTTTTTCCATTATTAACGAGTACTTGGTTTCTTATGGTTTCTTATCGGGAAAAAAAAAATATAAAACTTCCATTCATCCTGCCATGAACCCATTCATCCTGGATAACATCAAGATTATCATAAATAGGAGTGGAAAGAACATCTGCCACCACAGTTTCCTTGCCTTTCTTGTAGATAATTTCAAAATCATAACCCAGTAACTTGGAAATCCATTTTTGTTGCTCCAGAGAGGAAACCCGCTGCACTAAGATATACTTAATACTTTTGTGGACCGTCCTTATTTGATAATGATGGAATTAAATAGGCTCTCCACTTTGTAACTGAGTGAATTATAGCCATCATCTCCTTGTCATAGACTATTAATTGTTGGTGAAGCAGCAATAGTACCTTGCTAGTATAGGCCAAAGGTTGGCCCTCTTACATAAGTACACCACCAATTCCTATGCCCTATGCATCACATTCAACCACAAATAATTGATCAAAATCAGGTAAAGCAAAAACTGGGGGAGTTGACATAGCTACCTTTAATTTCACAAAAGCCTCATCAGCAGCCGCCCCCCCAAGCAAATACATATTTACATAGCAAGGCTGTTAATGGTGCATTGATCTTGGCATAATCCTGGACAAACTTTCTATAGTAACCCGTCAATCCCAAAAATCCACCTAGCCCTCGAATATTTTTTGGTATAGGCCACTCAATCATAGCCCGAATTTTAGAAGGATCCGCTGTCACACCTTNTGGCATAATCCTGGACAAACTTTCTATAGTAACCCGTCAATCCCAAAAATCCACCTTGCCCTCGAATATTTTTTGGTATAGGCCACTCAATCATAGCCCGAATTTTAGAAGGATCCGCTGTCACACCTTCTTTAGAGATAATATGGCCAAGGTACTTGACCTCGGGCTGCCCAAAGCTACACTTTGATTTTTTGACAAATAAACAATTCTCCCGTACGAGGGCGAGATTAATTCGTAAATGATATAAATGGTTGTCCCACGACTTGCTATATATTAGAATATCATCAAAAAACACCAAGATAAACTTAAGGAGATGTGGCCGAAAAATATTATTCATTAGGCTCTCAAATGTTGACGGTGCATTTGTCAGGCTGAATGGCATCACCAAGAATTCATAATGGCCATCATGGGTGCAAAAAGCTGTTTTTGGGACGTCTTTCGCGCATACGCGAATCTGGTGAAACCCAGAATGCAAGTCCAACTAGGTAAAATGATAGGCTCCACCCAGTTCATCAAGCAACTCGTCTGCCACCGGAATAGGATACTTATCCTTAACCGTTTTGCTATTTAAGACACTATAATCCACGCACATCCGCCACGAGTCATCTTTCTTGGGAACTAACAAGACTGTAGAGGAGTGTGGACTAACACTTGGTCAGATGATTCTTGTTTTCAACATTTCATAACTATTTTCTCAATCTCAGTCTTCTGAATGTATGGATAATGGTACGGCCTTACATTCGCGGGACCACTACTCGGATCATGTGGTCGTTTTGGTGGTAGCCCTTTGGGTTCTTTAAACACATCTATGAATTCTGAAAGAATAATTTTCAAATCATTGGAATGTTTCTAGCGCATCTCCAAGCTATGAATCCTCCTTAATTCCACAACAAATATCTCAGGCTATTTTCAAAGAACCCTTTCCATCCGATGGGCACTTATTGTAGTAACCTTACACTGGCAATTACCATTTAGAACAATTCTCCTACCATTTAAGGTAAATTGCATAGTCATCTCAGAAATTCCACGATATGTCTCCCAAATTACTCAACCTCTGGGTCCCATGGACCAAATCACAATCATCCAATGGTAATAAAAATAAATCAGTAGCTATACCTTGGCCCTGTACGAAAATTTTCACATTCGAGCATTTTCCTGGACATGTCAATGACCTTATATGAGGAACCTTAACTTCAAATGTATCATACTTGTCAACAGGGCAAACAAGTTTTCAAGCAGTCTTTGAGTCTAGGAAATTAGCAGTGCTCCCTGAATCAATTAAAATTGTTACAGATGCTTAATGACTCGGATTAACATCCCCTGCTGCCTACCTGGTCATCGTTTCAATCAAGTTCCTCATTCATATCTCTAGCAGGCTCAATCATCAGCAACTGTTTTTATTTGCAATTGTGTCCTTTTTGCCATTTTTTATCACAGTACCAATAGAAGCCTTTCGTTGTACGTTCTTTCAATTCATGTTTCTCAACCGCTTCGGGGTCGCACCTTTTTTTGCAGCAACAGAGTGAGGCCCATTTTCTTGGTTCAAATCACTACTCCTTGACGTGTAGTTCGGAGTGGTCTGTTGTTCATCTTCCGACAAGCGCTTTTCCCGTAAGCGAGCAAAGGAGATAGCAGCTAACATCCTGCATGGTCGGTATGCTTTGACTTCTCTTCAAATTTCTGGTTTTAGTCCTTCCACAAAGGTTCCCACCTACTGTTGTTCTGACGAATCTCTGGCTTGATTTTAAAGACGCTCAAATCTGCTCTGATATACCAGGACAGAGATGTCTGTTGAATTTTTGCGAGTTCTCCTTACACATTGTCATATCCATAGGGGCCAAAGCGAACCATCAAGCCATCTACAAATTCTTCCCACGTTGGAACACCTCGATTACAGTCAAACCAATCATTCACTGGATTGCTTCACCTTCAAGATTGATTGAAGCAATTTCTACCTTAATATTCTCCATGGTTCGATGGAGCTGAAAAAATTGTTCTGCACATGAAATCCACCAAAACAGATCTCCTCCATCCCATTGTGAAAATTCAGTTTTCACATGAGGGAATCCTTACTCTCGATCCCAACCATATCCATCCTAGAGGCGACGAGGGGGTTCTTCTTGAAACATAGCCGCTTGTCCCATGATCTGTTTTTTGCGGTTTTCGGGTTGATGCAACTCCGTCGGGTCCTCCACCCGTGATCCGGATGGATTGAATGTTGAACCCGCTCGACCCTTGGCTAGTTGTGACAACAGTTCCATGATTGCATCAAGCTTCTTGCTGATGTTTGTCACGTCTGTTTGAAGTTTCGCAATATTTTCTCTGTATTTATCTAACGCAGTGCCGTGGTGATTGAGTTGTTCATCACGTTCCGTATTAGTTTTGGTCATATTCGGTGAAGCAAGATCGTGCTCGGATACCAAATGATAAGGCTTGAATCAGAAAATCAAAATAAAATATGAGAAAGAGAAGAAAAGTGATCACTTCAAGGGGTTTTGACTTCCAAAAGCCTTAAGGCAGTAATATTATTTCTTCGATAATCAGCCATACGACATCTACACGTTTCTATAGTGGAAGATCCTAACCAAAAAGGAAACAAAATCAAAGGACATAAAATAAGGCTTAACAGACTCCAAGACTTTGGGCATTATATCCATATAAAAATTGACTAGATAAAGAAACTAAATAAAATCGTATCATACTCCTTTCCGTTGTTAATCTCTCATCTGGAGTTCCACTAAAGTTATGAGTAGCTTCACTTGGAAACGCTCATTGCAATGACTAGAGATATCTATGAGTCAAAGAAGGAATGCAAAACTAAGCGTAGAGTTCTGTATATATAGCCAAACAATAGTATAAAACGACCTGAACATATCTTTAGTCTAGGCAAGACATAAAAGTCGTAGTAAATAAAAAGGGAAAAACCCTAATAAACTAGACTAAAATTTCAACATTCCCCCTCAAGCTAAGTGCAAAAATGTCAACTAACCCAAACTTGACAACGGAGTCGCGGAGAACGGATAGAGTGACAGGTTTGGTGAAAATATCTACAACTTGATCACTAGTCTCCACAAATAATGGAGTGACAATACCGCAGTTAACCTTCTCCCGAAGAAAGTGAACATCGATCTTTATATGTTTCGTCCTCTCGTATAGTATAGAGTCAGAAGCGAGGTGAATAACAGATCGATTATCACAATATAATGTGGATGAAGAAGTTATTAGAAATCCCAACTTGCCAAGAATCGATCGTAGTTAGATAATCTCACACGTGCCAAGTGCCAGTACTCAATATTCTGCCTTTGCTAACAAGTGGGAGACAACTACCTATTTCTTGCTTTTCCAAGAGATAAGATGAGTCTCTCGAAAAACACAGAAGCCTGTAGTAGATCAACTGTCACACACTTCTCCATAATCTGAATCTGAATAATAGGTTAGAGAATATGAGATTTTGATGTGTAGAACAACCAAAGTTTAGGACATGACTTATGGTATCGAAGAATATGATAAACTGCATCAAGATGAGACTGGCATGACTTGTACATAAACTGACTAATTCGGTTAACTGCAAATGAAATGTTTGGCCTAGTGTTGGCTAGATAGATAAGTTTACTTACAAACCTCTGATAGACAGTCGAATCTCTTAACTCCTCACCTTCAATAGTAAGCTTCAGGTTTGGAATCATAGGTGATGATGTTGGTTTGCATCCCAGTGTCTGAGAGAAAATCTAGAACATACTTTCTCTGAGAAAGAACAATACCCCTGTTGTTACGGGCAACCTTAATCCTAAAAAAGCATTGCAGAAATCCAAGGTTCTTCGCATCTAAGGCCTTCCCAAGATTTATCTTGACCTGCGCAGTCTCATAAATATCATCCCTATTAATAATAATATCATCCACATATACCAAAAGGATGATAAATGAAACATGTATGATCAAAATGATATCTGGTGAACCCTAAATGTACAACTACACCACTGAACCGAGAGAATCAGACTCATGGTGACTGTTTCAGTCCATAAAGAGACTTACGCAGTCGACACACCATTCCAACATACTCTCCTTCACCACGAAAGTTCGGTGTTCCATTCATATAAATATTCTGGTCCAAATCATCCTGAAGAAATGCATTCTTCACATCTAACTGATAAAAAGGACAAGAGTACTTTGCAGTTCGAGAAATAATGAACCGAACGATAATCAATTTTGCTGCGGAGGCAAAGGGTGTAAACCTAGTGACAGCCAATAGGCTTCACCCCTGAAGGTAAATAGACAAGATCCCATGAATGATTATGGTGAAGGGCGTCCATATCTGTTTGCATGATAAGAATCCATTGGGGCTACCACATAGCCTTTGAAACAGAGCGAGGAACTGGCGTATTTAATAAGGCCATATTATAAGCTCAAAATGTAGGAGACAGATCATCATAAAAAACATAACTAGAGATTGGATATAAAGTTCTGACGGTCCAACCATAACGAACAGCTGGATGATGATCACGCCGTGGATAACGACGCCCTAAATAATCATCCTCCATGGACAGTGTCTCATCAGGTAAAGTAAGTGGTTGACTCCCTGTAATTTCATAAGTACTAACAACAGGTGTATTAATATGTTCAATGAACTTATAAATATTACCTGTATCACCTGAGATAAATGAGACATCAGTAGGGGAATGAGAGCGAGGGCGACGAACATAAACCTGCAAAGGAGGAGAGACTGGTGACTTTGTAGTGACAGAGATGAGCGGCACTGGAGAGGGAGAGACTGGTGACTTTGTAATAATAGTGACTAATGACTCTAGCTCCTGTGGTAATAGAAAATCAAAGGGAGTATCATTAACTGGAGGGTAGACACAGGACTGAAAGAAAAATAAGGAATATGCTCAAGAAAGATAATATCTAGACCGTGATACATACGACGCCTGATAGGAGCATGACACCAATATTCCTTAGATTGATGACAATAGCCTACAAAGGCACAACATATTGTTTTATCATCAAGTTTATGGTGAGTATGAGACCGATCCTGAATAAAACATGTGCTGCCAAAAACACGAGTAGGGACCGAAAAAACTGTCCACATAGGGAATAAGACTTGTAAGGGAACTCTATGCTGGAAAACACGACTCGGCGTACGATTGCACAGAAAAGTAGAAGTCAAAACAGCAAAATGTCAATAAGATTTTGGTACTCCCATACCTCTAAGTATACAACGTACCATCTCTGTCCGAACGAAGAGCACGAACAATGACATCAAATTGTCTCTTAATTATCTGAAGAAATTGAGTGATGACAGGGATTACATCGAACTTCCTATGCAAAAGGTATATATAAGTACAACGGGTATGGTCATCTATAAATGTAACATAGTATTGAGTACCTGACATAGCAATAACAGGGGAGGGTCCCTAAATATCAGAGTGTATTAGGTCAAATGATCTAGGTGACTAGTACATGCGAGAAATATAACTGATCCTAAGATGTTTTGATAAAAAACATATAACACAGTCAAGTTTACCACCACCACGAGCATTGCTCAGAGTAAGGAACAACATACATAAATATTTAAAATTTGTATGTCCAAAACAATTATGCCACAACTAAATTGTTTGTGACGAAAAATTATAACGACAATTATTAGGTAAAATACTAGTATGCAAGCTAGGAATAGATAAAGATTAGGTAGGTGCAGGGAGTGTAAGCGTAGGAATTAGTGAAATTAGAGGTGGATTGCCTAGATAATACATTCCATCTCTCTTATGTCTCTTGATAGTACTCCTCCTGGTACTCAGGTCTTGTAAATAACACGAATCAGATAGGAACACAAACACAGTGAAAATCTTTAGCTAACAACTAATGTACAAATAATAGATTCATGACCAACTTTGACGCATGAAAAATTGAACGTAATGTAAAGCAATCTGAGAGGCAGACTGTACCATTACTAACAACAGGGGCATGTGTCTCATCTGCTAATTGAACTTATATATGTAACTGCTCGTCAAAAGTGGTTAAGTGTGATGGGCCTCATTTGTTATGTGACCATCCGCACCCGAGTCCAGCATCCAAAGGGGAGACAGACTGGCGCAAATATGAAAGTCACGAGAGCAATAGACGGACCCTAAGAAGTATTGGTTGGCATAAATATATTGAAGTTAGAAGTGATAGCATCCATATCACTCTGCCAAGGAGGAGTAACGACAAAAGGTGGTGGTATGATAATCGCACTTACAAGAATCCCCCAGTTTACATTGATCTAGGGCGCCCTGACGGCGTTGGTCCAAGCTCTATCCACCGTTGCCTGAGGGTTCTGAATAAGACCCTGTGGCAATTGCAAGGGCCTGGTCGGCCTGAGGAGTCAAGGTTTCAACTAGAAGTGATGCAATTCGGATGCGGTGCTCATGTTACTCAATCATCGCATATACCTCATAAAGAGACGGAAGTCTCCTTATCAAGAAGATTTGAAAATGAGGTCCACAAACTCATCACGAAGCCCCATAAGAAATTTGTGAATCTTATCCTCCAGTTCTCGAGTATGCAAGATTGTCGCTCCCTTTGGCTCTATCCTTAGAATAGTAGCAAGGTGACAGAGAGTCTCATAATCAAGCCAGCGCTGGGTCAAATAGTAATAATAATCCTAAATCGTCATATCTCACTGTCGAGCATAGGAGAGCTCTTGAGAAAGTTCATAAATACGAACTCCCCGTCCTGACTGGGAATACATTTCTGATAATGCACTCCATAGTTTCGGAACAAAGTTATGAAATTGGTGAATTCTACGAACAGATGGCTTCATCGAGCCAAATAACCATCTAAGAATAGCACAGTTCTTAGAGAATTACGCAGAATATCCAGGGTCGTCATCAGTTGGCTTTAGGTGAGATCCCATTAACCAACTAAGTTTCCCTATATAGCCTAAGAAAAGCTGGAATGAGCTTGACACTCAACAAAGCTACGACCATTCAACAGCTATGTTGTAACCTTCTGAGAGATCATATCTGGCATTACCGGTAATGTAATTATGCCAGTAGGTACTGTATACTGGTCAAACATAAATGTGGGCGAACTAGGCGGTACATTCTAGGTGAAAGTACTACCAGTAAGGGTCTTAACACTAGGGGCCTCAATGGTAGGAGTCTCAAGTCTCTCAGTAATAGCCATATCAACAACAATATGTGGGCACCCGTGATAGAAAATGCTCTAAGATAAATAGAGGGACAAAATAAGAGAGAACAATATGCCTCCAGTTGAACAGTAGCGACATATAAAGAAGGTCTAGAAAACCCCTAAATAATTAGGTCACGGTGCCCAAAAATCTAGTAAATATATAAGTGATCTATTGTATTAAAAGCAAATCAATGGAAAAGAGGATCCAACTCCCTTAAAA